CACTTCCGCCTGGTGATCATCAGCGCTTCTCTACTGTGTTAGGCCTTGTGCCTACTTTGCCTCACTTGCTCACTGCTTGACTTTGCTTGTACTGTGATATATATGTATAAATATATGCCATATACCTGCATGCTTGCACTTGCTAGGGTATGATCACTATATTGTTTGTTCTCTTTTATTTTCCTCTGCATGCGAACTGGCCTTGTGGCCCTTTGTTTGTGCTCGGACTGTGTGGTGATTTTGTGATCCACCCTGAGCTTGCTTTGCTTTCTTGACTGGTCTTGTGACCACTTGTTCTCCCCCACTTTGCCTATGGGGGTGTGTCAAAATGTTATATAGCTTATATTGTGTAGGCTACAGTGGGGTAGCCCATAAGGGGTATAACTCAATTAGGGTTAGTACCGTCATACCCCGGATATAAGCGCCACCCGCGGATAAGCGCCTGGCGCTTTTAATTGGCGCGTGGCGCTTATATCCGGTGCTCGATTATAAGCGCATACCTAAAAGGCTTACGGATTATAACCGCATACCTGTGCCTTACATTTTATAACCGCCACCGAGTTTTTTTTCTTTTTTTCATTTGAAGACCTTTTACGGTACATAATTAGTATACTAAAACATCATGTTAATTACTCTACAACTAGTTAATCTACTCCTACCTACGAGCCTCACACAGGCTTCACCATTTTCTACACTTGTTAATCTACCCTACTCTAATCATCAGCTGTAGTGGGGTCATCTGGGTCGGCCTCAGAGTCCGACTCAGGTTCCTCTACGTTGTTGCAGAAGAAACCGTGTGCTGCAATTTCATCATCCATGTCGACCTCCTCGCCCTCGAGCTCGTCTCGCCTGTGTTGCAGGCAGAGCTTGTCCTGGGACCCATCCAGGGCGTTGCTGATGCCGCAGGTGAGGAACGCCCGTTGAATGAGTTCCTTGGGCACGGACTTCCAGGCCGCCGAGATCCACTTGAGCGTCAGCTCGACAGGAGGCTTCTTGATGTTGCCTGCCACGCAAATCCAGAAACCGGGTCAGCACGGGTTAAAGAAATAAAAACATAAACAGAAGAGCTGCACCTCACCTTTCTTCGTCAAGGTGTCGACCCCCTCACGCTCAAACCACTCCTGGTAGAGCTGGCGAACGGCGGCCTTGAAGGAGCGGTTAACCGCGATGTCGAGGGGTTGAATCTCCGAGGTGCAGCCAGCAGGGATAACCGCAGGGACCAGGTTCAGCTCGCCAAACTTCTTCTTCACCTCTGGGGTCAGGTGCCCGCGGTACGAATCGAGGACGAGCAGAGCTTTGCGGGGGCGGACTCCGAACTTGGGGTTGATGTACGGCTTCACCGCCCCGTCCAGCCACTCGATGACACCGTCCGCGTCCATCCACCCGTTGGGATGGACCCCCACGTGGATATCTGCACAGCAACAAAACCACGATGTTAGTTAAAATTTTTAACTGACATCGACATGCCACCGCGTAATCGACGTGTGGTGCATACCTGAAGGGAAATCTCCTTTGGGGACGGTCTTCCTTTTGAAGAAGACCCAAGGCTTCAACTTCTCCCCGCTGGCGGTGCAGGCGAGCATCACTGTAACCCGCTCTTTCTGGTAGCCGCCGCTGCGGACGGGCACGGAGCGCGAGCCAACCTCTTCAACGGTGCGTTCGGATGGCATCTCGAGCCAGAGGGGCGTCTGGTCCGCGTTTAGAATCCACGGCAGGTCGATCTTGTACTGCCGGCGGGAGTGACGCACGTACGTCCAGAAGTTCTTGACATCAGTCTCGCAGTCTGGGACACGGGATGGGAGGAACAGAAAGCACAAACACAGAGTGAGAGCGGTGAATAGACGGGAACAGACAAAAAACAATACCACCAAATAACAACTCACTGGACGAGAGCTTCTGGCCGACCCGGGTCTTCGCTCTGGTCGTCAGGTTCCAGCGGCGGCGAAAGCGCTGAGTCCACCGCTGAGAGCTGGCCCACCTTTCACCTGGGTGTAACTCTTTCATCACCTCGTGCGACCACTTCTGCAGTCGTGCGATCGAGACGGCGAGGCACTTCTTGCGGTGGGCGAGAAACCTCCGGTACACCTCCGCTTCCATGTCGCGATACCACGAGCTCCTTCCGCGGCCGTGCAGGCGACAGCGTGCACCGTGCGCGCCCTCAAGCTCACCCTTACGGCTCTTCCACTCCGTGAGGCACCTTCGGGAGATGCCGGATTCGCGAGACATGCGCCGCACACTCATCTCTCCGGCTTCGAGCTTCAGAATCCATTGCAACTTCTCATGCGAGGTGTAGGAATTGCGCCTGTGCTTTGTCGGCTTGTGCCTGGGGGAGGGAGGACGGGCATCACGATTATCGCGAGATGGGTGGGGCCTTTTTTTATTCGGAGGGAGAAAGGAGGGAATTGGAAGGTGCTCGGTGAGACCGTCAGCAGCCCAAACTCCACGTCGTCGTCCGCACCGGTAGCGGATTCGTCCAACGGGCAATCAGCCGGCACTCCCCATCGTGGCTCCGGTGCGGAGGAAGATCCTTCGCCGCCGCTGTGTTCAGGCTCGGACAGGAAGGCGTCGAACGCCGAGAAGCCAGGGGGGAGGAGAAGCTGCAGAACCCCTTGTCGCGGAACACCAACAGAAGGCGGGACGGGAGGGGCCGGAGGAACGGGAGGAATAGGAGGCGCCGGGGGAGCGGGAGGGGTAGGAGGCGTAGGAGGCGTGGGAGGAACGGGAGGCACTACTGGTTGTGGTGGAGGGACGGGCGCAGGGCGCGTCTGCCATTGAGAGGAGTCACGAGTGTCTCTGCGGGTATTTTCTCTAGCAGCAGGTTGGCGGCGGAACAAGAAATGCGTGCCTGGAAGGCCCGCCATGGCCACGGCAGGCCAAACGAACGAAGAAAACTGAAGAAAAAGTTGGGAATGAGGGCCGTATGAAGCCCTCGCCCGAGACCCCTTCAGTTTCGCGGCCCGGCCTCCTCTGCGGGGAAAGTGTGGCCACAGCCAAGATTCCCCGCAGAGGAGCTGAAAGGGACAGCTCCTTGCCTCGGTGGCAAGGGAATCTTGCTGTTGATGGGCACGTCGTGGTTGAACCACGACGTGCCCACGATCGCATGCAACCCTGATTGGGCCGCTGTGATGCGAAGTACGTGTGCCCTGGCATGGGCCAGGTTCACGTTCGATGAACCTGGCCTGGCCAACAAGGCGTGGAAGGCGTGATGCCACGCCTTGTTGGCCGTTTCACGCGCAAAGCATGCACAGAGTCGAACGTTCTCGACTCAGGTGAATCCGCCTTTGAGAATGCTTCGATTTGGTATATATAAAAACAAATTTCATTTTTGACATAACATAAACGCCGGCGCTTATAATTTTACTATATTATAAGCCCACCCCCTAAAAAAAACATGTTTTATTAGTGCCCCCCATGGGGGTATATCCGGGGTATGACGGTACTTGTACCCAACTTTTTGCTAGTTCATTCATTCTCGTTCGTTTTTTCTGACAATATTCTGTCCATATTGACATGTGTTGACAAAAAAGAGTATCTAGATACGCTGGAAAACATTGGAGCTTCCCAAACTTTGATACTTGTGATATTTGGATGAATGGATAAATATGATATTCTGATAGTGGAGCGTAGATCGGAGAGAAATGCATGTAGTAATCCGCGGGACCCACCCAGCCCACTTTCCGCCTGCCTGCGATTGCGCCCTTTCCGCCGATGACTCCCCCCTTGACTCCGCAAGCCTGTAGCTATCCGCGCGGCCATCCCTGTGGTCGGTCCGGTGGTCGCCTGTTTTCCCTCGGCGATCTCGAAAGCCTGCTGCAAGCCATCCTGTCAGATTTTTGACTGCACGCTTTGGCAGTCTCCTCCAGTGGTATTTTGTTGAACCAGGCCTGCTGCATTTGTTTCTGAGCTAGGCCTTGTGACAATTGCGTACACTGCAGTTTTCAGCCACAAATTGTGACGGTTGATGACGAAAATCTAATTTCACGGTTGCATGGCCTTTAGGTCCTCCTTGTATTCACGCAAGGCATTTCGGAAGCATTAGTCGCTGTCCCTGAAACTCTTGCATTCTGTAGACCTCGTGTCATTTCAGAGACGTCGGTATCATGCATGTTCCTGAGAGCACATGCCGTCCTTCTCTCGCCTTGAGCTACGATCACGCAGATTGTTTTCTCGAAGGATATCGTAGCGCTCACTGATCGCGAAAAACATCGTGTAGCCCATTTCGAGTTTACTCCATAGCCCAATTTCGTACTTCGGTACACGGTATCATGTCGTCGTCGTCGTTTCCTCTCTTTTCGTGCCTCTCACGGCCATAGTTTCAACTATCTGCATTGCGAAACACTGAATGTCTCTCACGCAACAGTGCTACCTCATTATCTATAAGGACCCGAGCCAACTCAACACAGCTGCCACGGTCCACGATCGCGCGATCAATTCACCCAAGGAGTTCCTTAGTAGGCTGTCTTTTAGTAACCAAAGTTATTAACACTTCTCACGTTAACCATGCACTTACTTGAGTTCGATCGGAGATATACTGCTGGTAGTCCCAATTGATGGGTCTCGGTGCTGCCTAGATGCGAAGCGGCAGAACACAGTGAGAGCTGTCAGGGAGCCAGGTGTGGTAGACGGGGAGGACTTTTGAGGCGCCTCACAGTGATATCTGTCAGGGACCTAGGTGTGACCGACGGGGAGGCTGCCGATGGCACACGGTGACGCGTGAGTCAAGTCGAAGGTCGCCTGTGGTGGCGCGGCATGGCTCTGTCAGCGTCGCACGCGCTGACGTCGCGAGACAGCTTCTTCCGCCCGCGCTACCTCAATGAGGCACCGGTAGGCATGCGCTGGAAAGAATGTAGCAACCTCGGTAGTAGCCTGAAAAAAATGTCCGCGCTACCTTAACGCCAGGCATGCTCTGGAAGGGATGCGGACGCCTTAACAGACTTTGATGAAGCAGCGCGTTTATTAAGGCCACTTACAAGCACGAACATTGCTTAGCGAAGGCGAGAATGGAGTGGAACATAGGTTCGCTCACTCCCCTCCCCCTTTCATTCGGAATATTTTTCGTCCACCCCCCTCCTACTCATCGCACCCTTCGCTTTTCCCTGGTCACCCCCTTTTCCGCCTCTTCCCCATCCAGGTGCCGAGCGAGGCGGAGGACCTGCCGCACCTGAGGGAGGTGGAGCTGTGCGTGAACGCGGACCTGGTGCACGTGGAGAACAAATACGGCGCCTCCTCTCGCACTCGCACCCTGCTTTCTTCCCCCAATTTTACCCTTCGTTCACCTCCCATTTCCCCTTTCCCCCCTCCCTCTCTTTCCATCCCCCCCGCGCTGGGCCCCTGGTTACCGCCTTTACCACCCTCGTGACTTGGTCCCAGGTGCTGAGCGAGGCGGAGGACTTGCCGCACCTGCGGGAGGTGGAGCTGTGCGTGAACGCGGTGGTGCATGTGGAGAACAAGTACGGCGCCTTCCTCTCCCAGCCACACCTCGCCTTCCATCCCCAATTTTGACCCTCGTTCACCTCCCATTTCCCATCCCCCCTACACCCTTCGCCCCCTTTTCTCCCCTCTTCCCCCTTCCCCCTTCCCCCTTCTCCATTCCCCTTCTTTCCATTCCCCTCGAATTGGGGCCCCTGGTTACCACCCTCGTAACATCGTCCCAGGTGCTGAGTGAGGCGGAGGACCTGCCGCACCTGCGGGAGGTGGAGCTGTGCGTGAACGCGGACCTGGTGCACGTGGAGAACAAGTACGGCGCCTTCCTCTCGCAGCCGCACCTCGCCTTCCGCCCGCAGCTCTTCTCCTCGCCCCTCTCCGACCGCTCTGCCGCCGGACCTGGGCGGCCGGGCGGAGGGCGCGATGGGGAGGATGACGATGCGGATGTAGAGCCGTACCTGGAGAACAGGGACCCGGACGACGAGGTGGGATGCTGTGGGGGGGGTGTTGTGGTGTGTGTGTTGGGGAGGGAGGGGTTTGGAGGGTTGAATTGAACCCATGTAGCGAGTTGTAGTTGTTAGAAATAGTCAGTCAACACTTTGTACTATATTCTATATCGGTTAGGTTACTTTGTAGGTTGGGTGTAGATTTGTAATCCCAACCCTATCTGGTTGGGATTCCCTCGTAATCCTGCAAATCTGCCAACTCACCAATTGGAGATTTGCTAGGATTCCCATCCCATCCTTTCCCTAGCTTTGCTCAACCCAACCCTGTTTGTACTTAAGGCCTAGTGCCTTCCTTATCAAGCAATCAGTTCAATTCCAATTCTATCATGGTATCGAGCTAGTAAATTCCGCTCACGCGGAATCCGATCCTTCGCGTCCCGATGGTTCTCTCCTTTTAGGCTATGCCTATTTCGGTTCCCGGCTCCTACGCTTAGCGTTTTTCAGAAACTTCACATCGTCGCTCCGGTCAAGCGCGCATTCGGCTTCCTTCATCGCGCATCTCGTTTTTCAACGGCGACATTCTCAGCTTTCGACTTCCTTCATCGTAAGCTTCTGGTTTTTATATCTCCGTGGCAATTTTCGCATCTTCTTAACTTCGAACAGGTTTTCAGCGACGCAGCGGAACAGGTCCAGCGGCGCAGCGGAACAGGTTTTCAGCGGCGCAGCGGAACAGGTCCAGCGGCGCAGCGGAACAGGTTTTCAGCGGCGCAGCGGAACAGGTCCAGCGGCGCAGCGGAACAGGTTTTCAGCGGCGCAGCGGAACAGGTTCAGCGGCGCAGCGGAACAGGTTCAGCGGCGCAGCGGAACAGGTTCAGCGGCGCAGCAGAACAGGTTCAGCGGCGCAGCAGAACAGGTTCAGCGGCGCAGCAGAACAGGTCAGCGGCGCAGCAGAACAGGTCAGCGGCGCAGCAGAGAAGCGGAACAGGGCAGCAGCGAAGCAGAACAGGGGGCATTGGCGAAGCAGTATATCAGGGTATAGTACGGGCATTCTATTGCCAAAATCGCGTTTCGAACTTCCTCAATTTCCAAAATCACCCGAACTCCGCTCCGCTTCACTCCGCTACGTATCGGAGACTTTAGCGCTGCGCTCCGCGCGAAATGGCAACTTCAACTTCCACTCTCGTCGGAAACCTCATCATCCTTAACCTCGCTCCCAACGGCACGAGCACCAATTTCGGGGAGTGGTGCTATGGAGTGGAGAAGCACCTCCTTAGCTCGGAGCTCAAGGGGATTTGCCTCAAAGACATCCTCCTCAATCGCGGCAAGGGGAAGATGCCTCTCCCTCCCGATCCTCTCGGCGAAGGCGCCACTGCCACAGCCAAGCTTGCTTTCGACGCTAAAACCACCAAGTATGAGACGGACTTCAGTCTCTGGGAGCAGGCGGATGCGGCAGTGATTAGGGTTTTCATCACCACCACCCCAGTCGAGTTAGTGAAGTCCTACCGCACCTTCCGCTCTGCGCATGACATTTGGAAGTACCTCCAGGATCGCTTTCATGACAAAACTGCCGTGGGAGTTGCAATCCTCATTCCTCGCATGTTCCAAATCCGCCTTGAGGAATGCCCGGGCATGGCAGACTACATCTCTGAAATCCGCAACATCCATGAGGAGCTCAAGGACATTGGGATCACCTTCCCCGAACAGGCACCTGCTGCTGGGCTTCTCGTCGGACTCACCCCGGCCTACAACGTCACCAGTTCCATGCGCAAGCAGCTCCCCACCAAGGAACTCACCTTCGAGAAAGTCGCTTCGGCCCTTCTCTCTGCCGAAAAGGACCTTGCAACCCAGGCATCCGTCAATGCTGTGCGCTACTCCCCTGGCATCCCATTTCGTTCCCAGCAGGGCCAGAGGCGCAACTCCTTTCCCCCATGCCAGTACCTCATTAGGAAGGGTCCACGTGCGGGGCAGAAATGCAACGGCACCAACCACCCTGAGGCAACTTGCTTCAAGAAGCGAGATGACGAGTGGTATGACGTCCACGGTGTCTCCAAGGACAAGTGCCCTCCCAACTGGGCACCACCCCGTCGCGTGAACCAGGTCGAGGCAGTGGAGGAACCTGCTCAGGCATTTGCTAGTGCCCCATCTGATGTTCGCCTTAACCTGTTGTTCTCTGGTGCTGGTCTTCTTAATGAGAAGGGGTCGCAGTACATCGGTGTTTCAACCACACAGGGAATTGAGTTCATACTAGACAGTGGTGCCACCCACACAGTGCTTAAAGACCAAACTGCCTTCGTTCCCTACCAGGCTCCCACCTCACTCCTTGGAGCCGATTCTAGCTTCTCCATCCAATGCCATGGGTCCTCCACAGTTTCCTGTCCAGCTTTCCCATCCGGCACAGTCACTGGCATCTGTGCCCCTACCCTCCGCTACAACCTTCTTGCACAGCGGGAAATCCAACACGCAGGCGTGATCACCATCTTTCCCAATGATGTTGACTACTGTGACATGTTTGACGCCAAAACCGGACTCCATCTTGCCCGCTTCACCCTCAACTCCAACAACCTGTACACACTAGTTGTACCTCCCGTTCAAACATGCTCCCTCACCAACCTTCCGCTTCCATCCTCAGACTCCCCATCATGTCACTGCCGCCTCCTCAATGACAAGACTATGCTATTTCATAACCGCCTCGGCCACATCAACTTCCGCGCACTTTCAGACCTTGCCACCAAACAACTCCTTCATGGGCTGCCCGCCTCACTTCCACAACCCCCCTCTCTTTCTGGACCACCTTGCCTTGACTGTGCACAGAGCAAGCTTCGAGAACAGCCCCATCCTCCCACTGAGTCCACCTCTACCGCACCTCTTGATCGCGTACACATGGACCTTTGGGGTCCAGCTCCTGTTCGTTCCCGTGGCGGACACTTCTACTTCCTTGTCATCGTTGATGACTATTCCCGCTATGTGTCTGTTCACCTTCTCACCGCCAAGTCTGAAGCCCCAGCCATTATCATGGAATGGGCAAGGCAAGCTCATTCACACTTCAAAACCAAAATCAAGATTCTTCACTCTGACGGTGGCGGTGAATTCCGCAACAACACTCTCAAAGCTTTCTGCTCTACTGAGGGTATTCGTCAGACCTTCACCCTCCCAGACAGCCCTCAACAGAACGGTGTTGCTGAGAGCCGAAACCGCATCCTGGTGCAGATTGCTCGCTGCCTCCTCACTCATGCTTCCGCCCCTCCCTCTCTTTGGGGATACGCCATGCTCCATGCTGCCGCCCTCCACAATCTCCATCCTCATCCTCACCACGCCCACACCACCCCCGCAGAGCTGTGGACGGGTCAAAGACCGTCCGTCCGCCCTCTTCGTGTATGGGGGTGCACTTCCTATGTTCTCCTCAACTCCCAAGCCCGTCATGCAGCTGGCGGCAAGCTTGCTCCGAAAACAATCACGTGCGTGTACCTCGGGCACAACTCGGACTCGCCAGACTACCTCTTCCTCCATCCTACCACCAACAAACTTTATCGCAGCCGAGATGTTTTCTTTGATGAATCCCACCCGTTCTACCCCTCCTCCACAGTTTCTCCTTCTCCTCCGCCTCCTTCTCTTACTTGGGCTGACTTTGACAACCTTCCTCCTACCACCACTCCATCTCCTCCTCTTCCCGCTCCCTCCACAGTTTCCGACCCCCCGTCACCCGCTTCCCCTTCCAGCACCACGCAGTCTCCCCCGCTCCTTCCCGCCCCCGAGCCCATTCCTCTCAAAACCTACCAACGCCGTCCTCCTGCTGCTGCTCCTCCTCCTGATCCAGCTCCTCCTCCTGATCCAGCTCCTGCTCCTGATCCAGCTGCTGTTCCTGATGCTGCCACTACACCTGCTGCTTCTCCCCCTCCAGCTCCGCCTCCCTCCCACATCGCTGGTCGCACCCGCTCGCGCAAAGCTCCCAAGCCTCTTTCCTTTTCCATTCGTGTCTCTCTCAATCCTCCTCCTGTCGGGGGTGATTATTCGCTCATGCCCTCCCTTCTTGGGGACAGACATGAGGAGTTGATTGAGATTGACTCAGCCATACACGCACTCTGCTCCCTCTTTCCAGATATCGCAGAATCTCCCACCCTCAACTTCTCGGACAACCCCTCCATCCCCACACCTCTCACCTATGCTGAAGCAGTTTCTGGTCCTCACGCCGCTCAGTGGCTAGGGGCCATTGTCGCAGAGTGTGAGGCCTTCATTCACACAGGAACTTTCACAGATGTCTCTCCTCCCTCCGGCGTCAACATTGTGAAGGGAAAATGGGTTTTCCGGGTGAAACAACTTCCAGGCGAATTTCCCGTCTTCAAAGCCCGGTACTGTGCCAAGGGATTTACCCAAAAGCATGGACTGGACTTCTTTGAGACATTCTCTCCCACCGCCAAACCTCCCACACTGCGCACCCTTCTCGATGTTGCCGCTCGAGATGACATGGAGGTTGACTGCATGGATGTGTCCTCTGCGTTTCTGCAAGGGATCCTTCGAGAGGAAATCTACATGGAGCGGCCCGAAGGATTTCCAGCTCCTTTTCCACCAGGCACTGTATGGAAGCTGAATCGACCAGTCTATGGCCTCAAGCAAGCACCCCGGGAATGGCACAACAAGCTCAAGAGCACCTTAGGGTCCCTCGACTTTCACCCATCCACCTCTGACCCCAGCCTCTTCATCCGAGCAACACCATCCCGCTTCTTCATCTTGGTTTATGTCGATGACATGATCCTTGTCACCAAGGATCAGACTGAGTTGGCAGCAGTCAAAACCGCACTTGGTGAGAAGCTGGCTATGAAAGATCTTGGGAAACTGACGAACTATTTGGGCATGGAAATCACACGTGATCGCACGGCCCGCACCATCACCCTCTCGCAGAAGTTCTACATCAACAACGTTCTGACCAGGTTTAAGATGCAGGAAGCAGCTTCAATGCCCACCCCACTCTCTCTGCAGCACCAACTCACTGCACCCTCTGTTCCCTCACCTGAGCCCTGTGATGAGGCTTACCCCGAGCTCGTCGGTTCCCTCATGTACGCGATGATGTGCACTCGACCAGATTTGGCCTATCCAGTCAGTGTCCTGTCTCGCTACGTTGCACCTGGTCGCTTCACGAGCCACCACTGGTCTGCCGCCAAGCGGGTCCTCCGCTATCTCAAAGGCACACAGGACTATGTGCTCACTCTTGGCGGCTCTTCCCCTGTTCGCCTTGAGGGGTACAGTGACTCGTCCTATGCTGATGACCAGAGTGATCGGCGCTCTTCCCAAGGATATTGCTTTACCCTTGGCAGTGGGGTTGTCAGTTGGCGCTCCACTCGGTCGTCTTCCGTCTCACTGTCGACCTGTGAGGCAGAGCTGTATGCCGGGACCATGGCTGCCCAAGAGGCCCGTTGGCTCTCCTTCTTGCTGGCAGAACTTGGGTATCCTCAACCAGCCCCAACGCTTTGGTGTGACAACGAGAGCACCATTCATCTCACAAAGGACCCCGTCTTCCACGGCCGCACCAAGCACATTGAGGTCCGTCACTACTTTCTTCGTGAGCTGGTGCAGCGCGAGCAGCTGAAGGCTGAACACATTGCCTCCGACTGCAACCTTGCTGACTTGTTTACCAAGTCTCTTGTTCGCCAAGACCACTACCGCCTCCTCTCGTCCATGGGTGTTGGGCCGCCATGTGGCTGAAGTGTTGTCAGCCTAGGGGGTGTGTTAGAAATAGTCAGTCAACACTTTGTACTATATTCTATATCGGTTAGGTTACTTTGTAGGTTGGGTGTAGATTTGTAATCCCAACCCTATCTGGTTGGGATTCCCTCGTAATCCTGCAAATCTGCCAACTCACCAATTGGAGATTTGCTAGGATTCCCATCCCATCCTTTCCCTAGCTTTGCTCAACCCAACCCTGTTTGTACTTAAGGCCTAGTGCCTTCCTTATCAAGCAATCAGTTCAGTTCCAATTCTATCAGTAGTAACATGCGGACGTTGAGCTGTACCTGGAGAACAGGGACCCCGACGACGAGGTGGGGAGGGAGGACATGGGGGAGGGGGAGTGGTGTGGTGTGTGTGGTAACAGGGGGAAAGGGGGATTTGTGGGGATGGATGTGCGTGTGTGGGCGTGTGTGGGCGTGTGTGGGCGTGTGTGGGCGTGTGTGGGCGTGTGTGGGCGTGTGTGGGCGTGTGTGTGCGTATACTGAGATACTGAGACGGCTTCACACATGAACGTGGAGCCGTCTTGGACAACAGGGACCCGGATGACGAGGTCGGAGGCCCTTGGGGGAGGGGTGTGTGTGTGTGGTGGGTAGTTGAGTGTGTGTGCGTGCGTGTCATCTCTCTCCCTGTCTGCCATCTCTCTCCCTGTCTCCCACCTCGCAGCACTATGGGGGCCCACCCATCATGGCGTACGAGCCTATGTTCAGCTGGGAGACGGACAGAGCTGCTGTGATTGGCCAGCGCATGCCCATCAAGCCCATTGTCAGCAGCACAGTGTATGTGCCACTGCCCTCCTTTTCTCACCAGTCCCATCCCAGCCACTTTCCTCCTCCTCTATAACCTCTCTCACTCACATGCCACAGCACCCCAGACATCCTTCTTCTTGACTCCTTACTCGCACTTCTGGTCCGAAAGCTCTTAGAATGTTGCACTGCCATGTGCGTCCGGCCCTCCATGACCCATGTGCGTCTGGCAACCCATGATCCACCTGTGTCCGTCCTCCCTGACTCCCCTCCCCCACCCACCCTGTACTGCCCCTGTCTGTTCCCCCCACCCCCCAGAGGCACGTGCTTCTCTGTGCGAATACTGTCATTCAATGTACCAGCGGGCCTCGTGGAGCCCTTAGACGATTTTTTAGGCGCCTCAAAAACCCCACCCACCCTGTACTGCCCCTGTCCCCCCCACTCCCCAGAGGCACGCGCTTCTCTGTGCGAATACTGTCATTCAACGTACCGGCGGGCCTCGTGGAGCCCTTTTATGGCTCCATCTGTTTGTATCACACGGAGAAGAAGGAGAAGGTTTCAGAGGACTTTCACTTCCAGTACCTGCCTCTCTCCTGGGACGGGGTGAGTCCATTAGGCTCGAGCATAATCAGTTAGGGATACGGCCAAGCTTGCTAGCATAGCTATCATGCGTGGTACGTATTCATGGTGTCACAGACATCAACTCGCCCTCCCTTCCCTCTACTCCTGTCCTCCTCTGCAAACATGCACACACCTGCAACTGCAGCACCAAGGCATGATTGTATGTGTGCCAGAAATGCCAATCCTCCGATCTTCATGCATATTCACTGTGAAGTACGGGCAATGACGGCTGTAACACCTCTTCCTTTCTCCCCCTTTCCCCACTGCGTGCGCGTGTGTGTGTGTGGGTCAGGAGAGCACGTCCCCCGAGCTGAGGGCGATATTCACTGTGGAGAGGGAGGCGGCAGCGCTGTGCCTGCTGGTGCAGGTGGAGCGAGCAGTCACAGAGGAGAGCATCAACGGTGTCAAGGGATCCGTGTACACCCGCAAGGACCCTGTGAGTGCTGCACTGCACTGGGTTGGTTGCTGCAGGCCCTCGTGCGTGCATGCACTTGTAATTTGAGTAGACTCCAAGGTGGAGCGAGCAGTCACAGAGGAGAGCATTAATGGTGTCAAGGGATCCGTGTACACCCGCAAGGACCCTGTGCGTGCTGCACTGCACTGGGTTGGTTGCTGCAGGCCCTCGTGCGTGCATGCACTTGTAATTTGAGTAGACTCCAAGGTGGAGCGAGCAGTCACAGAGGAGAGCATTAATGGTGTCAAGGGATCCGTGTACACCCGCAAGGACCCTGTGAGTGCTGCACTGCACTGGGTTGGTTGCTGCAGGCCCTCGTGCGTGCATGCACTTGTCATTTGAGTAGACTCCAAGGTGGAGCGAGCAGTCACAGAGGAGAGCATCAACGGCGTCAAGGGATCCGTGTACACCCGCAAGGACCCTGTGAGTGCTGCACTGCACTGGGCTGGTTATTGAGAGCTCTCAATCAGCAGGACCCTGTGCGTGCTGCACTGCACTGGGTTGGTTATTGAGAGCTCTCAATCAGCAGGACCCTGTGCGTGCTGCACTGCACTGGGTTGGTTATTGAGAGCTCTCAATCAGCAGGACCCTGTGCGTGCTGCACTGCACTGGGTTGGTTATTGAGAGCTCTCAATCAGCAGGACCCTGTGCGTGCTGCACTGCACTGGGTTGGTTATTGAGAGCTCTCAATCAGCAGGACCCTGTGCGTGCTGCACTGCACTGGGCTGGTTATTGAGAGCTCTCAATCAGCAGGACCCTGTGCGTGCTGCACTGCACTGGGTTGGTTATTGAGAGCTCTCAATCAGCAGGACCCTGTGCGTGCTGCACTGCACTGGGTTGGTTATTGAGAGCTCTCAATCAGCAGGACCCTGTGCGTGCTGCACTGCACTGGGTTGGTTATTGAGAGCTCTCAATCAGCAGGACCCTGTGAGTGCTGCACTGCACTGGATTGGTTATTGAGAGCTCTCAATCAGCAGGACCCTGTGCGTGCTGCACTGCACTGGGCTGGTTATTGAGAGCTCTCAATCAGCAGGACCCTGTGAGTGCTGCACTGCACTGGGTTGGTTATTGAGAGCTCTCAATCAGCAGGACCCTGTGCGTGCTGCACTGCACTGGGTTTGTTATTGAGAGCTCTCAATCAGCAGGACCCTGTGCGTGCTGCACTGCACTGGGCTGGTTATTGAGAGCTCTCAATCAGCAGGACCCTGTGCGTGCTGCACTGCACTGGGTTGGTTATTGAGAGCTCTCAATCAGCAGGACCCTGTGCGTGCTGCACTGCACTGGGCTGGTTATTGAGAGCTCTCAATCAGCAGGACCCTGTGAGTGCTGCACTGCACTGGGCTGGTTATTGAGAGCTCTCAATCAGCAGGACCCTGTGCGTGCTGCACTGCACTGGGCTGGTTATTGAGAGCTCTCAATCAGCAGGACCCTGTGAGTGCTGCACTGCACTGGGCTGGTTATTGAGAGCTCTCAATCAGCAGGACCCTGTGAGTGCTGCACTGCACTGGGCTGGTTATTGAGAGCTCTCAATCAGCAGGACCCTGTGCGTGCTGCACTGCACTGGGCTGGTTATTGAGAGCTCTCAATCAGCAGGACCCTGTGCGTGCTGCACTGCACTGGGTTGGTTATTGAGAGCTCTCAATCAGCAGGACCCTGTGCGTGCTGCACTGCACTGGGTTGGTTATTGAGAGCTCTCAATCAGCAGGACCCTGTGCGTGCTGCACTGCACTGGGTTGGTTATTGAGAGCTCTCAATCAGCAGGACCCTGTGAGTGCTGCACTGCACTGGATTGGTTATTGAGAGCTCTCAATCAGCAGGACCCTGTGCGTGCTGCACTGCACTGGGCTGGTTATTGAGAGCTCTCAATCAGCAGGACCCTGTGAGTGCTGCACTGCACTGGGTTGGTTATTGAGAGCTCTCAATCAGCAGGACCCTGTGCGTGCTGCACTGCACTGGGCTGGTTATTGAGAGCTCTCAATCAGCAGGACCCTGTGAGTGCTGCACTGCACTGGGCTGGTTATTGAGAGCTCTCAATCAGCAGGACCCTGTGCGTGCTGCACTGCACTGGGCTGGTTATTGAGAGCTCTCAATCAGCAGGACCCTGTGAGTGCTGCACTGCACTGGGCTGGTTATTGAGAGCTCTCAATCAGCAGGACCCTGTGAGTGCTGCACTGCACTGGGCTGGTTATTGAGAGCTCTCAATCAGCAGGACCCTGTGAGTGCTGCACTGCACTGGGCTGGTTATTGAGAGCTCTCAATCAGCAGGACCCTGTGCATGCGCTTGGCTTTTGAGTTGACTCCAAGGTGGAGCGAGCAGTGACAGAGGAGAGCATTAATGGTGTCAAGGGATCCGTGTACACCCGCAAGGACCCTGTGAGTGCAATCGGCTGTTAATATTTTTTGGAATTAAGCACCCAGTGACGGTGACATAATTGGCTGGTTACTGACATGATAACACCCAAAAAAAAAAAACAGTGAGTTCCTTCACTTCTGTCACTGGTCCTGCCCTGCCGCACCTCTTTTTGCACATCCGCCTCTTCTTTCTTTGCTACTGCTGTCACCTGTGCTGTGGTACTCATCACTACTCCTTGCTGATTAACATGCACCTGCTTGCTTCCCCCCTTGCTCACTGGGATCCCCTTTCCGTCCGTCCGTGCATGCAGCCCGTTTTGACAGAGAGGGAGGCATCCCGGCTCTCAGAATGGGCACAGGTCAGTCTATCTACTTTCTGTCTGCTTGATTCAAATAATTTCTTCCCCTCAACTTCTTTCTGCACATGCCATGCCAACCCCCAAGACTTTCGCGCCCATCACTCAACCCGCTGATCACGCTTTCACCCCGTTTCACCCCCCTTCACTCCCCCCCCCCCCACAACCCCCACAGAGCATGCCATTCCGCGAGGCCTTTGCGTTCGCCACCATCCCACTGTTCGACTCAGCGGGCACAGGAAGCGCCACCGGCTTCGGGAGCAGCAGCACAGGAGCCGGCACACCAGGGGTGCTGGGCGGAGCAGCAGGGGGAGGGGTAGGGGAGGGCGCAGGGGGCCCTGGGACGCCGGGGTCTAGCAGTGGGGCGCTGGGGGAAGGGGGGGCTGCGCCGCGGTATGAGCTGGGGGGGCCTCTGCTCGTGGATATCCCCTGTATGCAGCGCGTGAAGGAGTGCTACACTGAAGACCAGCTCTTTGTGCGTATCACGCAGCAGGAGCTAGGGATGTCAGCCGTGCCATGGATGGGGATCATATTGCTTTGCTTTGGCTGCCTACTCCACCCGCATACTGCTACCACACCCACTTGCTTAGCCTTCTCTCTTGCAACCTGTTCCAGTATGTCACACCTCCTTTTTTACTCTTACTTTTTCCCGCACTTACCCTGCCTTACCCCCTCATTAACCCCCTTCAGGACCCCAAGTGCAAGGTGCACAAGCCAGTGCGCATGTCCATTCAGGTGGAGGCGGAGGGGGCGGTCCATCCATCTGTCCATACACCCCTAAACAGCACTGCTCCTACCCTTATCTGCCTCTCCTTCTCCCCCTCATCCCACCCCTCTTCAGGACCCCAAGCGCAAGGTGCACAAGCCAGTGCGCATGTCCATGCAGGTGGAGGTGGAGCGGCTGCCAGGCAGCACGGCTCTCTCTCACTCCGCCCAGGGGGGACCTGCAGGGACCAGCACCCCTTACAGCCAGGCCATGGGTCACACACGGTCAATGGAGTCAATGGGGTCAGACGCGGATGAAGTGGGTGGGCTCAGTCGCACCTTCTCTATCTCCCGCCTGCTCAACGGGGTGAGTGAGCTGGCATGTGCAACACATGCTCCAGCGTTTTTTGTGTTTTTTTTTTTTCAAATTTTCCTCTCTGCCACTCACCACCATCACCCAACTCTTGATTTCTCCATATACTCCCCCCCACCCCGACCCCCAACCCCACCCCTCATCCCCCCTTCAGTTCCATGCGTTGGACTTCACAGACATGACGCGTGCGGAGCCATTCACCCATCTGGAGCACCTGGCGTTTGTGTATCCGCACAGCGTGACGCTCCCCAAGAAGCTCAACCTCTTCATGCGCCTCGAGCTCCGTGATGACGACACCGACCTCCAGTCCTCACGCCCACAGCTCGAGGTACGTACGTTCACAGGGAATCACTTTTTCTTCCGAAAGAGGCAATGAAGTTAAAGCAGCCGCCCGCAGCTCGAGGTACTGCGATGTTCTGCTTACGGTTTGCCTTAGGTTTCAGGTTGGTTGGTCTACGTGTGGGCGGCATCCGACGGAACATATTGACAGGAACGAATCTCAAAGATGGTGGCGGCTCTGACTTCCAGCCCTCTCCCCCTCGGCAGATTTGACGGGCGACTTGAATTGTACGCATGCAGCGTGTGGGATCAAGTGTTTAGAGGTCTCAAGAGGGAGCATTCAACGCAGCAAGTGGCGTCCTGACAGGTGGCCATAGGCATGCCCTCCTCTGCTCTCTCTGTTCCCCACCCGAACACCCCTCCCTTCCACACTTCAGGCCATCTTCCCCTGGGAGCGGGAGCACGCGATGCAGCGAGTGGCGTCGTCACAGGTGGCCATGGGCATGCGCCCATCGCTCTTCCACGACGAGTTCAAGATCCAGCTGCCCGCCGTGCTGCGCCCCTCCCACCACCTCCTCTTCTCCTTCTTCCACATCGACCTCGCCGTCAAGTCCGACCGCCCCAAACCGGTAAGGTTATGAGGCGGCCAGGGTGAGCTTATAACGGGTACAGAGTCAGCTTACAAGGGGTACAGCTGAGCTAGGGGGAAGAACCTTTCCACATAGACATCGCTGTCAAGTCCGACCGCCCCAAACCGGTGAGCTAACTAAGGGGTACAGAGGAAGCTTATGAGGGGTACAGGGTGGGCTCGGAAAGGGTACATTCTGCCATGCTGCGCCCATCGTGCACGCACAGCCTCCTCTTCTGCTTCTTCCACATCAATCTTGCCGTCAAGGCCCACCACTTCAAGCCTGGTCTTGAGGCGCCTCAATAGACCGCCTCAAACCTGGTTCTAGAGACTTTGGCCCGAACCTGTCATCCTTGTAGACGATGCTGATGTGTGCTGACGTGGTGTGTGTGCTGCTGATGTGGCAGGTCGTGGTTGGCTACTCTGTCATGCCTCTGTCAGCTGTCACACAGTGAGTCAATGATCCAACCAGTCCTCTGTATATGGATGTCTGTGCTTTTGCTTTCCTCAGTAGACGTCCATGCATTGACAAATCTCATCTTCACATGCATCAGGGGGCATTATGCAGGTTCTCACCACTGTATCACACTCCACTCCCATCCAAACCCTCTCCATCCCTTCCACTCCACTCCACTCCACTCCACTCCACTCCACTCCACTCCACTCCACTCCCCCTCCCCCACCCTCCTCCCCAGGTCGTTCAAGGGCGAGATGAACCTGCCCATGTCCAAGGAACTTCTGCCCAAGTACCTGCACGAGAGCACCAAGGGGGAACACACGCCTCTTCTCCCCCCTTTCCCCCCACCTTCCCCTCCCCCATTCAGGTCGTTCAAGGGCGAGATGAATCTGCCCATGTCCAAGGAGCTGCTGCCCAAGTACCTGCACGAGAGCACCAAGGCCAAGCTGACCTACTGGGAGGAGGGAAAGCCCGTGTTCCGCCTGCGCACACGCCTCTTCTCCTCGCTCCTCCCCCTCTCCGACCGCCTGCGCGACTTCTTCCGGCAGTACGACCGCCACGTGCTGGAGGCTCCTCTGCCCCGGGAGGATTTGCTGGAGTCGATCAATGGGCTGAAGGGCGTGGATACGGTGGTGCTGCTGCAGTTCCTGTACCCGTTATTGAATATGCTGCTGTGCATGATTGGGAACGGGGTCGAGACGCTGCAGGTGGCGGCTTTCCGAGCCACCGTCAATATTGTGTCGAGGTGAGTGAGGGGTTTGTGGAGACGAGATGGTGGTTTGGTTTGGCGTGAGAGTGTTGTGTTGGTTAGAATTGCCTCTGCGACTTCTTGTCTTCCGCCAGTACGACCGCCACGTGCTGGAGGCTCCTCTGCCGCGGGAGGACCTGTTGGAGTCGATCAATGGGCTCAAGGGCGTGGATATGGTGGTGCTGCTGCAGTTCCTGTACCCACTGCTGAACATGCTGCTGTGCATGATTGGGAACGGCGTTGAGACGCTGCAGGTGGCGGCGTTTCGAGCCACTGTCAACATCGTGTCGAGGTGAGCGGCTTGCTGAGAGTGTTAAAATATATATTGTGTAGCATGCCAACACATGTGTACACCAATTGTGGTGTACAGTTGGGTTGGGACTACACCCAACTTTGGGTGTAGTCTTGCACTTTGGGGTGCCAATCCACCCAATTGTGGTGGAGCCCCCAAATGCAACCCTCTTGACTTGTGGGTACCTCACTTCCCACAATTGAGGTTACCCCAAGCCAAGTGGGCCTAGGGTTGCCTCACTTCTACAAAGTGTGGGCAACCCAACCCACTTGACCTATGGTTCCCTCACTTCCCCAAGTGAGGTCAACCCAACCTATGGTCACTTTCATCCTTCCCTTCCAACCTTCCCTTCGAACTATGTATGCTAGGTTGTTCCTCTAATCTAATCACTTGTTCAATTTGCTACTTTCACATGGTATAGAGCTACTTGTTCCTAGGCCTTACCTCTCCCTCCCTTCAGTTTTTTTTTTTCCCATGGGCCCACCCCACAGCTACAAACCCTTTCCTACGCGTGGCTCAACTAGCCATCACTAGCATACTCTCGCCGCGACCTACGCCGTCGCCGCCGTTCCCCCCCCCTCCCGCCGCGATTACGCCTTCCTCGCCTGCGGATTCCACCGCCGCGAGCGCAACGCCGCTGTCCCCTCCTCCCCCCCGCCGCGACCCCCTGTCGCCGCCTCCCCTTCTCGCCGCCGCGCCTGATTCGGCGCCGCCTGCGCATCCTGCCGCCGCGACGCCTCGTCGCCGCCTGCCCGCTGCCCGTCCCTCCGCCGCGACGTCACGTCGCCGCGTTCCCGCCGCCGCGCCTGCTACGGCGCCGCCTGCGCATCCTGCCGCCGCGACGCCTCGTCGCCGCCTGCCCGTCCCTCCGCCGCGACGTCTCGTCGCCGCGTTCCCGCCGCCGCGCCTGCTTCGGCGCCGCCTGCGCATCCTGCCGCCGCGACGCCTCGTCGCCGCCTGCCCGTCCCTCCGCCGCGACGTCTCGTCGCCGCGTTCCCGCCGCCGCGCCTGCTACGGCGCCGCCTGCGCATCCTGCCGCCGCGACACCTCGTCGCCGCCTGCCCGTCCCTCCGCCGCGACGTCTCGTCGCCGCGTTCCCGCCGCCGCGCCTGCTTCGGCGCCGCCTGCGCATCCCGCCGCCGCGACGCCTCGTCGCCGCCTGCCCGTCCCTCCGCCGCGACGTCACGTCGCCGCCTCCCCTTCCCGCCGCCGCGCCTGCTTCGGCGCCGTCTGCCCGTCCCGCCGCCGCGACAGCTCGTCGCCCCCTGCCCGTCCCGCCGCCGCGACCTAACATCGCCGCCTGCGCATTCCGCCGCCGCGACTGCTCGTCGTCACCTCCCCGCGCCCCCCCCCCCCCCCCCCCCCCCCCCCCCCCGCCGCGATTTCGCATTGCCGCCTCCCCTCCCACCGCCGCACCTGCTTCCGCGTCACCCACGCATCTCGCTGCCCGTTCTGCATCGCCACCCTCCCGCAATTTCCCCCGCCGCAACTGCAACATCTTCGCCCCGCGGTTCCCGTTAACGCCACTGCGCCGCCGCCGCCCTACCGCCGCGACTGCTTCGGCGCCGCCTGCCCATCCTCCACCGCGACCGCGCCATCCCCGCCCACACTTCCTGCCGCCGTGACTGCCCCGTCGCCGCCTGCAGATTCAGCCGCAACTGCACCCTCCCTTCCTCCTCTCCCTACTCCTCTCCCCCCCCCTCCCCCTCCCCCTGCGCCCCTCGTTGCCGCGGCCTGCCTGCCGCCGCCGTCCCTCGTTTCGCCGCCGCGGCCCTTCCGCCGTCGCCTGCGCCCCTCGTCGTCGCGGCCTGCTCGCCGCCGCCGCCCCCGACTTTGCCACCGCCTCCCCTTCCCGCCGCCGCACGTTCGCACAGCCGCCTGCGCCCTTGTCACCGTCGCTCCCTGCACCTTGAACGCCTCTGCCCTCCACCGCTGTCTCCCTCCTTTACCCCCCCCCCCCCCCCCCCTCCCTCCTCCTGCCAGCGGCAGCAGCAGCGGCAGCAGGGGAAGTGCAGCAGCCTCCGCAGCAGCAACTTCACCCTTGGCCGCCGCGGGTCCACCCGCCGTCGCCCATCATGACTGCTACCCCCCCTGCCCCTCTCCCCCCTCCTCACTGGAGCAGTGTTACTCCTCGCCCCTCCCTTCTCAACACTCCGACCCTCCACTCCTCCCCCCCCCCTTATCTCCGCCTGCTCACCCCCTCCCCCCCTCCCCATCTGCGGCGTTTCCAGCAGCTCCAGCATCAGCAGCAGCAGGACTTCCAGCAGCGGCAGCAACCACAATTTCTCCAGCCGCAACCCCCACATCTCCTCCAGCCGCGGCAATCGCAGCAGCAGCAGTTCTTCCAACACCAACAGCAGCCGCAATCTCTCCAGCCTCACCCGCCACAGTTTCTCCATCCCCAGCAGCAGCAGTCCTTCCAGCCGCAGCAGCGGCAGTCCTTCCAGCAGCAGCAGCTGCCACAGTTCCTTCCACCGCAGCAGCAGCAGTCCTTCCTGCAGCAGCAGCAGCCACAGTCTCTCCAGCCGCAGCAGCAGCAGTGCTTCCAGCAGCAGCAGCTGCCACAGTTCCTTCCGCCGCAGCAGCAGCAGTCCTTCCAGCAGCAGCGGCAGCCACAGTTTCTTCAGCCGCAGCAGCAGCAGTGCTTCCAGCAGCAGCACCAGCCACAGTTCTCTCCATCCGCAGCAGCAGCAGTGCTTCCAGCAGCAGCAGCCACCACAATCTCTCCAGCCGCAGCAACCGCGGCAGCATCGGCGGTGCTTCCAGCAGCAGCAGCAGCCCAATCTCTCCAGCCGCAACCGTCACAGTCTCTCCCACCGCAGCAGCCGCAGCAGCAACAGTACTTACAGCAGCAGCACCCGCCGCTCTCTCCCTCTTCTATCCATGAAACAACTCTCCAGTACTCTGTGTTCCCTCCCTCTCCTTCCCCCCCCACCCTGGACTTTGTCCTTGACAGTGGGGCCACCGAAACCGCACTAAAAGACGCTGGCACCCTCACCCCCCTTCCACTTCCCACCCAGGTTCATGGTGCCGACTCCAGCTTTTCCATCCCCTGCACTCACCTCTCCACCCTTCCTTGCACCGCCTTCCCATCCGGTACAGTCACCGGTCTCCACATCCCTACCCTTCGCAATAACCTCCTCTCCCACCGTGAACTCAAAGGCGTTGGCATTACCGCCATATACCCTGGCTTTGCTTCCTACTGCGATCTCTACCACACCGCCTCTGGTCGTTTCCTCCTGCGCATTCCCGTTTGCCCTCGCACTCGCCTTTACACGCTCCGCACACCCCGTCCCTCCTTTTGTCACGTCACCACTCGTGCTGGTACTTCCACCGGTCCCCTTCTCCCTCCCCCTCACCCTCCCCCTCCCCCTCCCCCTCCTCCGATATCCTCCTCCTCTACTCCATCCGCCTCCTCCTCCCCCCCCAACTTTTCCCCCACCCCATCCCCATCCTCCTCTACTGCCCTCTCCCATCCTGCAGTGCTCCTACATCACAGACTCGGCCATCCCAACTTCGCCGCACTTCGCTCCACCGTCACCTCTCGCCTCCTTAACAGCCTTCCTCCCACCTTACCTCCCCTCCCCTCCTCCCCTGCTCCCCCATGCCCATCATGCATTCATGGCAAGCTCAAACAGTCCCCCCATCACAGTCATCCCACCTTCGCTCCCGCCCCCATTGACCTTGTTCACATGGATCTCTGGGGCCCTTACCCCATCCGCTCCCGTCAGGGGCACAGGTACATGCTCGTGCTCGTCGACGACCACAGTCGGTACTCCACCGTCTTCTTTCTTCACACGAAAGACCAGGTGCCGGCTGTGGTCATCAACTGGGCTGAGCAGTGCCGCAACCACTTCAAACGTCCCATAGGCCGCCTTCACTCTGACGGTGGGGGTGAGTTCATCAATCATACTCTCTCCACTTACTGCAAAACATACGGCATTCAGCAGACCACCACCCTTCCCCACTCCCCTCAGCAAAACGGCATCGCTGAGAGTCGCATCCGTGAGATCACCAAGATTGCGCGCTGCCTCATTGCTCACGCCTCCACCCCTCCCTCCCTCTGGAGCTATGCCCTCATTCATGCCGCCCTCCTCCTCAATCTCCGCTCCCACCCTCAGCATCCCTCCTCCTCCCCCACAGAACTCTGGTCCAAGGCCAAGCCTGACGCCGCAGGCCTTCGTGTTTGGGGCTGCAAGGCGTTCGTCCTCATTCCACCGGCCGACCGCTCCCGCGCTGCTGGCAAGCTCGCTCCTCGCGCTCTGGAGTGCGTCTACCTTGGGCACAATCGTGATTCCCCAGGCTACCTATTCCTCCACCCTCCCACCAATCGCCTCATCCGCAGCATTGACGTCGTCTTCGACGAGTCCACTCCCTACTACTCCACCCCTCCTCCTGACCCCCTCCCTCCTCCCACTCGCCCCCTCGCTTGGACCGACACCATCCTCCCGCCTCTTATCCCTCCAGCGCCTCTCCTCCCACCTGTCGCCGCCCCACTCCCGCCTTCCTCCTCTGCCGACGTCTACGACCCTGCCGCACCCGCCTCCCCCGCTCACTCAGCTGCACCCCCTCCCCCCTCTCCCTCCTCCTCTCATTCTCCTCCTTTCCAGCAGCCGGATCAGCAACAGCAGGGGCAGCAGCAGCAGCAGCAGCCGGATCAGCAACAGCAGGGGCAGCAGCAGCACCAGCAGCAGCAGCAGCAGCAGCAGCGGGAGCAACACCAGCAACGGCAGCAGGGGCAGCAGCAGCAGCAGCAGCCGGGGCAGCAGCAGCAGCAGCAGCAGTAGCAGCAGCAGCAGCAGCAGCAGCAGCAGCAGCAGCAGCAGCAGCAGCAGCAGCAGCAGCAGCAGCAGCAGCAGCAGCAGCAGCAGCCGGAGCAGCAGCAGCAGCAGCAGCAGCCGGAGCAGCAGCAGCAGCAGCAGCAGCCGGGGCAGCCGCATCAGCAGCAGCCGGGACAGCAGCAGCAGCAGCAGCATCAGCAGCAGCAGCACCAGCAGCAGCAGCGGCGCCGTGCCACTTCCCGCTCCTCCCCCTTCCTCCTCCCTTACATCCATACCCGCTCGGTGGACAAAATCCTTGGGGCTCCTCCTCCTGCCTCCATTCAGCTCCTTGAGGACTCCCATGAGGAGTTCCTCAACATTCGGGAGCACACTCCATTCCTTGCCGCCCTCTACCTTGACTTCCTGGGCTTTCCTGTCCTTGGCGCCACTACTACCCCCACCATCTTCACTCCCTCCACCTTCCAGGAAGCCATCACCTGCCCTGATGCGGATAAATGGATAGCAGCGATCTTCCTGGAGTGTGAGGCTTTCATTCGCAACGACTCCTTTGTCGATGTCCCCCTCCCTGCTGGCGCTAATCTCGTTGACGGCAAATGGGTCTTTCGGGTGAAGCAGCTGCCGGGCGAGGAACCAGTGTACAAGGCCCGCTACTGCGCCAAGGGGTTCACGCAGACTTGGGCTGAGGACTACTGGTTCACCTACGCCCCCACCGCCAAACCACCCACCCTTCGCGCCGCCATGGACATTGGTGCACGTGACGACATGGAAATCGACTCCATGGACGTCTCCAATGCGTTCCTGCAGGGCGACCTGCATGAGCGCATTTTCCTCCGGCGACCCCCCGGGTTCCACGCAGCCTTTCCTGAGAACACTGTCTGGCAGCTGCGTCGCCCCGTCTACGGCTTGAAGCAGGCACCGCGTGAGTGGCATGCGAAGCTGGCTGCCACCTTGGGGTCCCTCGGCTTCTCTGCTTCCCACTCCGATGCCAGCCTCTTCATCCGCTCCTCCCCCCGCCGCTTCTTCATTCTGGTATATGTCGACGACATGATCCTGCTCTCTGACACCAAGGCCGACATGGAGCAGGTGAAGCTGTCCCTGCAGCAGCGGCTCAAGTGCAAGGACCTTGGCGCCCTCACTCACTACCTCGGCATGACCATCACGCGCAACCGCCCTGCTCGCACAATCACCCTCTCCCAGTCCCATTACATCGGCCAGGTCTTGGAGAAGTTCGACATGGCGCAAGCCAAGCCTGTTTCCACCCCGCTCCCCTTCGGTCACCAACTCGCTCCACCCACCTCCCCCACCTCCTCCCCCCACCCCTATGCCGAGCTCGTTGGGTCCTTGATGTACGCAATGATGTGCACCCGCCCCGACCTCGCCTACCCCATCAGCGTGCTCGCTCGCTTTGTCGGCACCGGTCGTCACTCTGAGGAGCACTGGAAAGCTGCCAAGCGGGTCCTCCGCTACCTTCGCGGGACCAGGGACCTTGCCCTCACCCTCGGCGGCCCTTCCCGTCCCCTTCTCTCGGGCTTCAGTGACTCCTCATGGGCTGACACGCAGCCGGACCGCCGCTCCTCCCAGGGCTACGGCTTCACCCTTGGCAGCGGCCTCATCAGCTGGCGCTCCACCCGCTCCTCCGCCATCTCTCTCTCCACCTGCGAAGCCGAGCTCTACGCTGGCACCATGGCCGCCCAGGAGTCGCGCTGGCTCTGCTTCCTTCTTGCGGAGCTTGGCGCCCCCCAGACGTGCCCCACTCTCTGGTGCGACAACGCCAGCACCATCCATCTCACTCAGGACCCCGTCTATCACGCCCGCTCCAAGCACATCGAACTCCGCTACTTCTTCGTTCGCGAGCTCGTCCAGAAGGGCCTCATTGCCGTTCGCAAGATTGCAACCGAGGCCAACTTGGCCGACATCTTCACTAAGGCCCTCCTTCGCCCCGCGCACTCTGCCTTCCTCCGCCTCATTGGCCTTGCTCGCCCGGGCGCCCCTTGATTCAGGGGTTGTTCTCTTCTTGTGTTAGCATGCTAAGGGGTTGTGTTAAAATATATATTGTGTAGCATGCCAACACATGTGACTGTACACCAATTGTGGTGTACAGTTGGGTTGGGACTACACCCAACTTTGGGTGTAGTCTTGCACTTTGGGGTGCCAATCCACCCAATTGTGGTGGAGCCCCCAAATGCAACCCTCTTGACTTGTGGGTACCTCACTTCCCACAATTGAGGTTACCCCAAGCCAAGTGGGCCTAGGGTTGCCTCACTTCTACAAAGTGTGGGCAACCCAACCCACTTGACCTATGGTTCCCTCACTTCCCCAAGTGAGGTCAACCCAACCTATGGTCACTTTCATCCTTCCCTTCCAACCTTCCCTTCGAACTATGTATGCTAGGTTGTTCCTCTAATCTAATCACTTGTTCAATTTGCTACTTTCACAGAGAGCAGAGGTTGGGTTGGTGTGAAGGGTCTTGGAACATGCCCGAGGGGCCTTGGAGTTTGATTTGAGGGTCTTTAAGTTGAGATGAGGGGTTTGCGGAGACGAGTTGTTGGTTTGGTGTGATTGTGCTGGTTAAAATCGCCCTGCTCTGCTGCTCTTGCTGCATTCCACTGTGCCCGAAGACATGCTAGACCCTCAGACATGCTCACAACATCTCCCCCAACTCACCCCACTCGCCCCTCCCCTGCCAACACCAGAGTGCAGGCGGAGCTGTCCCCCAATGTGCCTCGCAACCGCTTCCTGGTGCACTTTGTGGACTTTGTCTTTGACGACCTGGGCCGCCAGCAGCCACCCGTCTACCCCGGACTCAGCAACGTCTGGCGCTCCCTCGCCCGCAGCAAGGTGCCCGCCTCAGGCTCGGGGATTAGGTGTAGGGTTGCGGTGCTCAGGGGGGTTCAGGGTTGAGGTCTGGGCGTTTGGCATCATGTGCATTCTGTAAGCTCTCACTGAGAGCCTCTCAGCGTGTGCCACGGCTTGTGTCAAGTTATGCCAACTCAACTCAATCGCTCCGTGCTGTACCAATCTCGCCCACCATTCCCTTGCACATGCCCCGTTTTCCTCTCAATAAAGCAATCGCCCCCTCCTTTCGTCCCGTCCCTCTGCGTCCCGAGCCTGCAGTCCCGGGGCTTCCGAGTGGGTCCGGTGTACAGCGAGGCGCTGACCATGGCGTGGTTTGTGCTGGAGCTGGTTGTCAAGTCCATGGACCTCGAGCTGGCTCAGGTGCCGCAAGGTGAGAGCTGCCCTGGTGGTGCATGCAAGGTGAGAGTCTTGTATCTTGCACAGGTGATACAGGCGCTGACCATGGCATGGTTTGTGCTGGAGCTGGTCGTCAAGTCCATGGACCTCGAGCTGGCTCAGGTGCCGCAAGGTGAGAGCTGCACAAGGAGGGTGCATGCATGGTGACTCGGTGAGGCTACTCTGAAGGGATACAGGCGCTGAGCATGGCATGGTTTGTGCTGGAGCTGGTTGTCAAGTCCATGGACCTCGAGCTGACTCAGGTGCCGCAAGGCGAGCCATCGAGAGCAGGGTGGAAAAAAACGGCCCGTATGTTTGAAAACGTGGTTTGCTGTTAAAAAGCGGTAGTTGAAATCCGTTCACTATGGTTCTAGGTAGGGATGAGCAAGGGGCGAACACGAAAACAGTGTTCGGTTCGGCGAACACTTTTAGCAAAAACAGATGTTCGGTGTTCGCCTGTGAAGGCGTGTTCGGGCGAACCTCGAACACATTCGTGTTCTACGCGGGGCAAATTGCAGCAGCGGCCCGAACACGTTTGTCACGAACACTTTAAGCTAAAAAACAAACCTGTTCGGTTCGCCTCGAATCTTTGCTCAACCCTAGTTCTAGGTGACCAAGTTGACTTTTGAGTCGACTCAAAAGTTCCTTTGCTCAACCCTAGTTCTAGGTGACCAAATCACTCTGACCGAACCATCCACCCATACCCTTGCATGCTTATGCACATAGCATCACCAGACAATGGCATCACCAGACAATGGCATCACGTTTTGAGGCGTCTCACAACACGAAGCCACCCTCCTTTCCCCCGCTCTTCCACTCCACGCATAACCCCACCAGGCGACGAGATAGCGCGGCTGAGGCTGGCTGGAGGACGAGGTGTTTCTGTGCATCCGGCAGCTCTTTGAGTGCCTGCTGGTCGAGGTGCAGGACAAGGCCCACTCCGACTACTCTCTCCTTCCATCTCCCTGCCTTCCCCCACTCCTCAGTACCAACACCACCAGATGATAAAATTGCGCGGATTTTCAAACGCCTCAAGAGCCTCCTCTCTTCCCCACCCTCTCCCCCTCAATCAACCCCCTTCCGCACCCCACCCTCCCGTGCACGCAACCGCACCCCACCAGGTGATGAGATAGCGCGGCTGAGGCTGGAGGACGAGGTGTTTCTGTGCATCCGGCAGCTCTTTGAGTGCCTGCTGGTCGAGATGCAGGACAAAGCTGATGCTGACTACCCCCTCGCGCGCCGTCTCACCAACTCCCTCGCCTTCTTCTGCTACGACCTCATCACAGTTGTTGACCCGCCTCAAGTGTTCGAGCTGGTGAGTTTTCAGTCGACTCAAAATCGACTGACTTGTAATTCGACTCAAGAGCCGCCTCACCAGCTCCCTTGCCTTCTTCTGCTGCGACCTCATCACTGTCGTCGACCCGGCTCAAGTGTTTGAGCTGGTAGGTTCTGAGTTGAGTCTGCTTAAAATTATTTGTCAATCGACTGACTTGTAAGTCGACTCAAGAGCCGCCTCACCAACTCCCTCGCCTTCTTCTGCTACGACCTCATCGCTGTCGTTGACCCGCCCCAAGTGTTCGAGCTGGTAAGCTCTTCTCAAGTGTTTTCGATTCAGCTGAACTCGTGTTCACAGCACCTGTTGAACATTTATGACTAACTTTGCTCCCTCAACCAAACCGAATTGTCCTACCCTGCGTCCACTCCCACACTTCCAGGTGGGGCTGTTTCTGTCGCAGCTAGCGGGCATGTGTCCAGCGAACCAGCACTCCCTGAAGCTGCACTTCCTCCGCATCCTCTGCGATCATGACCTCTTTGTTGAGACTCCCGGCCGCGGCCCCACTGAAAAGTAAGTCTATCTTGGAATGGCTTGTGAGGCACCTCAGATCAGATGATTTGCTCTGCAGAACAGCACTCCCTGAAGCTGCACTTCCTCCGCATCCTCTGTGATCATGACCTCTTTGTTGAGACGCCCGGCCGTGGGCCCACCAAAAAGTAAGCACTGGAATTACCTGTGATGCACCTCGCAATTGTGCCCAGCAATACGGCCAGCACTCCCTCAAGCTGCTCCTCCACATCATATCCTCTGCGACCACGACCTCTTCGTTGAGACACCCGGCCGCGGGCCCACAGAAAAGTAAGTCTATCTTGGAATGGCTTGTGAGGCGCGTCAGATGACGTGCTCTGCAAACCAGCACTCCCTGAAGCTGCACTTCCTCCGCATCCTCTGCGACCACGACCTCTTTGTTGAGACGCCCGGCCGCGGGCCCACAGAAAAGCAAGTCCTGGAATGAGTCCCTCGTTCTTACCAGCTGTGTCGAGTCTCCCCCTTTCCTTGGCCTTCTCCTCCCTTCTCGTGGGGCTTGTGAAACATTCATTAGCGGAACTCTGCTAATGAAGGGCTTGTTTACGGCGTCGAGTTTGAAACATTCCACAGCTCATTTTCCCCCCCTTTTCCTTCTCTCCCCTCCCCTCCACTTCTTGTTCCTCCTTCCTCAGAAACTATCTGTCGACAGTGCTGGTGAAGGACCTATTCACAGGCCTGAACCACGACGACCCCAACCAACGAGCCACGGTGCGAGCCATGGCCCATGCATGCCGTGCCTTGTGGCCTGATACTTGATGCCATGCTGTCTTGCCTTTTCCGCCCCGTGCCATGCCGTGCTGTTTTGCGTGCCATGCCGTGCGTGTGGCATGGCGTTATCCGATGCTTTCCACCACATGCGCATTCACTGCTTACCATGCATTTCCCTCTTCCCCGCATAATTCTCATGCACGCTCCCGTCCTCACCCCATTCTCTCCCCACCCTCACAGGCGTCGCGCATGCTGACCTTCCTGCTGGCCAAGCACGAGTACGACGCGCGCTACCAGCAGGCGGACCTCAAGCTCTACATCTCACAGCTCTACTTCCCCATCGTCACCCAGGTGTGCTCTAGTCACCCAGGTGCGCACTAGTCACCCAGGTGCGCACTAGCTAGTCACCCAGGTGCGCACTAGCTAGTCACCCAGGTGTGCACTAGTCCGTCACCCAGGAGCGCTGCTTCTAACTAGCCTTCTTGGCACGGTCTAGGCACATTTCAAACCCTGCATAGTTTTGAGACGTCTCAAAACAGGTCTAGGCACATTTCAAACCCTGCAGGTTGCATTCTACTTCCAGGTAGCCAACCAGGTGGCCCATATCTTGTCCAGTGGTTTCTTGATTCCTGAGCAGTCTGGTCAATGTCCATGGTCAGTCAGGTTCATGCCCATGGTAACCCATTCAGGCTAATTCCCATGGTCATTCTGCATTGCTATCTTATCCCCCTTCCCCTGCCCCTGCCCCCACTCTCATGCCCGTCCTCCCTCCGCCCCAATTTCCCTGCCACCTATTAGACGACCCACGCGTGTTCACGCGCCTGGGGGTGCTGCAGAAGCGGCAGGTGGTGGTGGCAGTGCTGGTAGTGCTGCTTATGAGACGCTCTCAAGCGTTTCATTCTCCTGCCCACCCACCCTCTCTTCCACCCAATTTTTCCCCCAGTTACTGGACGACCCACGCGTGTTCACGCGCCTGGGGGTGCTGCAGAAGCGGCAGGTGGTGGTGGCGGTGCTGGCGGTGCTGCGGCATGTGGACAGCGAGACGCTGCTCAAGGCGTGGAAGCACAGCTCTGCACGCACACAGGTCTTCTTCTCGCTGCTGCAGGAGTCACTCTTCCTCTTTCAGGTGAAGGCTGCTGCCGCCCCGCCACACCGTGTGCCGCCCGCCCCCTGCTTTCGCAGCTGCATGAGTCGTTCTTCCTCTCAGTTGGACAGTGCTTTGCGTTCTTTGTGTGTTTTTTGTTCTCTTTCAACTCTCTTTTTCACAATCTCCGTTCATCTACCCCCCACCATCCCCCTTCTCTCTTCTCCTCACCCACTGTCCTCTCCTTCCTCTCACCACCAGTACACGGGGCGCACGGGGGTGAGCACGGGCGAGCTGGGGGCAGTGGTGCGCAACCATCACAGCCTGGACGGCAAGGGGCGCAAGGGGGGCCCATCTGTCTCCTCCCCACACACTCCATCTCCCCCTTTCTTCTCCCCACCAGTACACGGGGCGCACGGGGGTGAGCACGGGCGAGCTGGGAGCAGTGGTGCGGAACCATCACAGCCTGGACGGCAAGAGCTGCAAGGGGCTCACTGGTTTCTCTCACACCTTCTTCCCCACCCCCAACCCCAACAGTATACGGGTCGCACGGGAGTGAGTACGGGCGAGCTGGGGGCGGTGGTGCGCAACCATCACAGCGTGGATGGCAAGGGGCGCAAGGGGACCCCATCTGTTTCCTACCCCCACACTCCCCCTCCCCCCCTCTCCCCCCCCACCAGTACACGGGGCGCACGGGGGTGAGCACGGGCGAGCTGGGGGCAGTGGTGCGCAACCATCACAGCCTGGACGGCAAGGGGCGCAAGGGCGGCAGTGAGGGGGAGCTGCCCGCCTTCCCACTCTACTCAGACCGCGTCTCTCTGTCCGCCAATGACTCACTTGACAACATGGCGCTCGCAGATCCCAAGGTGGGGAGAGTGAGTGCTGTGGGTGGTTGGAGTCATTTCTGAGGCTACTCACATGTCTCCTTGGGCTGCCGCCCTTCCCACTCTACTCAGACCGCGTCTCTCTGTCCGCCAAGGACTCACTTGACAACATGGCGCTCGCAGATCCCAAGGTGGGGAGAGTGAGTGCTGTGGGTGGTTGGAGTCATTTCTGAGGCTACTCACATGTCTCCTTGGGCTGCCGCCCTTCCCACTCTACTCAGACCGCATCTCCCTGTCCGCCAATGACTCGCTTGACAGCATGGCGCTCGCAGATCCCAAGGTGGGAAGAGTGATTGCTGTGCTGTGGTTGGGTTTGGGAGGCGAGTGCTGTGGGTCGACCTAGAAGTCTCCACTGTCGACCTAGAAGTCTCCACTGTCGACCTAGAAGTCTCCACTGTCGACCTAGAAGTCTCCACTGTCGACCTAGAAGTACAGCTGGCTATTCTCCACTGCCTCACCATTGCAGCAAACCACACCTCCCTTCCCTGTCCCTCTGCTCTTTTTCCCCTTTTCCCTCCCTTGATCCTTCAGGGGAGTGGCGAGCGGGAGCAGCTGGTGCGCAAGTACAGTGGCGTATCCTCCACCGCCACACCACCGCAGCCTACTGCTGTCCCATCCGCACCATCCTTCTGCTCTTCTGCACATTTCCTAACCCCCCACCCTAATCCCCCACTTTTCCTCAGGGGAGTGGAGAGCGGGAGCAGCTGGTGCGCAAGTACAGTGGCGTATCCTCCACCGCCGCACCACCGCAGCCTACTGCTCGCCCGCCCGTGCCGCTACGGGAGGAGCTGAGGCGCGCCCGGGTGGCGCCTCTGGAAGCCATGACCATTCTCAGACAAGGCTTGCCGCCCGTTGCGTCCGAGAAGCTGGTGAGTGAGCCGATTTGAATCATCCTTATGGTTGTCAAATCGGGCTTAGGCGTTTCCCCCTCTTCTCCCTTGACCAGACTCCAGCTTGTAGATTCCTTTGAAAATTCTTAAAATACAGCAGCCGTTTTGGGGGGTATAGTATTCAAGCAGTTTTCACTTCCTTGCATCCCTTGCCTTTCCATCACCCTCACCCCTCTCAGCTCAGGCCATGCGGGAAGCGGCGATGGCAGGGTGGGTATCCATGCACTGCAGGTACTGCAGGTACTGCAGGTACTGGAGGTGCTGGAGCAGTTAGGTGAGGAGTGCTGCCTCTCCCTCCTTCCTCATCTCGACCCTTTCTTGTGCATTTCTCCATCCCACGCACCCCAGGCCATGTGGGAGGCAACCATGGCAGGGTGGGTGTCACTGGAGGTGTTGGAGCAGTTCAGCGACCTACCTGGTTGCAACTTCTCCTTTCCCCTGCTGTATACCCCCCGCCTCCCCCCCTCGTCTCTTCCCCTCCTCAACCAGGCCATGTGGGAGGCAACGATGGCGGGGTGGGTGTCACTGCAGGTGCTGGAGGTGTTGGAGCAGTTCAGCGACCTGGCAGCGGAGGGCGCTGTGGTCACGGAGTATGACACCATGGACTGCCTCACTGGCCCCATCTCCGCCCTCCTCAGCATGCCCCAGGTAACACCTGGCCCCAGCGTGCCTCAGGACCTCAGGTAACGCCTGCTCTCAGCCTCTTCCCGTAACACCTGTCCTTTCCTTAGCCTGCCCCAAGGTAGCACAACCTTAGCCTGCCCCAGGTAACACCTGGCTGGAGGCACACAGCACTGTGCTTCTCTCCTAGCCCATGCAATCTCAAAAGAGTCATTGTGCCTGCATTTTACCCGACAAGTGCACGCACTCAGCCTTTCCATTCCACACGTCCCTACCAGTTCCCAATCGTCTGTCCGCTTGCCTTTCTCTGCTCCTCCTCCTCCTCGCCAGCTGGTGCCATTCTGCGAGGTGTTTGTTTGTGCCATCCTTTGCAGAGATGCTGCAGCTGCCCCCTGCAGTGCTGGGCCGTATCCACCCGCTCCCCTACAAGTTGCAACCTCTCCACCCCATTCATCTGCCCCCCTCCGTCTATCCCTCACCAGCCGGTGTCCTTCTGGGAGGTGTTTGTGCCGGCCTTTGCAGAGATGCTGCGGCTGCACGGCCGTGCAATGCTGGCGAGCAGCAAGGCGAACGATGCGCGGCTCAAGGACATGTTTGGCAATCTGCTCAAGCGCCTCATTGTGAAGCCTGAGTTTGTACGCAAGCGCGCGCTGCTCTGCCTGCTGCTGCTGCTGCGGGTGAGTTTGGGGTATGGCTGGAATCAGGTATTAAGTGATCCCCACAAAAGTATCTGGTAGTTGACTGCATCCACACAGCTGGGGAAGCATACGGCTTCCCCCTCTCCTCTCTCCCTTCCTTCACTGAACATCAAGCTCCTTCCTTCCACCATCTGCCCTCTATCCGAGCCTCTCTACTTGAGCCGCTGGCTGTTGTCGTCCCTCTTCAACTCCCCCTCTTCCCCCTTCCCCAGACGGCCCTGCCGCACATGGGCAACGTGCACCACCTGAGGGTCATCCTCACAGTCGCTCTCCCCGAGGTCATGATGCAGCTGCGCCTGCTATTCCCTTCTTACCTCCTTGCACGCTCTCCAACCCCTTCCTACCCCCCTTTCCCCTCCAATCGCATCCAGACGGCCCTGCTGCACATGGGTAATGTCTGCACATGGGTAATGTCTCCAAGACGGCGCCAGGCCTGGGTTTTGTAATGTCTCCAAGATGTACTTCCTTCTTAACCCAATAACCCAATGCATTCTCTCCAACCCCTCAATCCCATCCCACCCCTCCTTCTTCCCCCCTCTCCCCCCCACTCTTCCCCACCCCACCCCCTCCCCTCCTCCTCTCCCAGACGGCCCTGCTGCACATGGGTAATGTCCACCACCTGCGGGTCATCCTCACCGTCGCCCTTTCAGAGGTCATGATGCAGCTGCGCCTGCTGCAGCGCGGCGCCAGGCCCGGGGAGATCACCGAGTCTCTCGAGGTGGAGCGGTTGCGCTTCTCATTGGAGGAGCTAGGCTCGGAAGAGACATGGTTCGGGCTGCTGGCAGAGAGCGGGCTTCCAGACATGTGTTTGGAGATCATGGTGGGGGATGAGGAGGCGGATGAGGAGGATGAGGAGGAAGAAGAGGAGGAGGACGAGGAGGAGGAGGATGAGGATGATTATGATGAGGAAGAGGATGAGGAGGAGGAATTTGACGACTTGGATGAGTTTGACAGGGAGAATGGGAGGAGGAGGAGGCGGAGGAGGGGGAGGCGAGGGAGGAGGAGGGAGAGGAGGATTCGGGACCGATGGTCGAGGAAGAACGTGGATGAGCTGCAGGACATGCTGCTCACTGTCGTGGACGCTGCCTCACAGCATGAACAGCTGGTGAGAGTACTGGGTTGCCTTAACAACACGAGTAGCTGATGACGCCTTAACAACACGAGTAGCTGATGACGCCTTAACAACACGAGTAGCTGATGACGCCTTAACAACACGAGTAGCTGATGACGCCTTAACAACACGAGTAGCTGATGACGCCTTAACAACACGAGTAGCTGATGACGCCTTAACAACACGAGTAGCTGATGACGCCTTAACAACACGAGTAGCTGATGACGCCTTAACAACACGAGTAGCTGATGACGCCTTAACAACACGAGTAGCTGATGACGCCTTAACAACACGAGTAGCTGATGACGCCTTAACAACACGAGTAGCTGATGACGCCTTAACAACACGAGTAGCTGATGACGCCTTAACAACACGAGTAGCTGATGACGCCTTAACAACACGAGTAGCTGATGACGCCTTAACAACACGAGTAGCTGATGACGCCTTAACAACACGAGTAGCTGATGACGCCTTAACAACACGAGTAGCTGATGACGCCTTAACAACACGATTAGCTGATGACGCCTTAACAACACGAGTAGCTGATGACGCCTGAACAACACGAGTAGCTGATGACGCCTTAACAACACGAGTAGCTGATGACGCCTTAACAACACGAGTAGCTGATGACGCCTTAACAACACGAGTAGCTGATGACGCCTTAACAACACGATTAGCTGATGACGCCTTAACAACACGAGTAGCTGATGACGCCTGAACAACACGAGTAGCTGATGACGCCTGAACAACAAGAGTAGCTGATGACGCCTTAACAACACGAGTAGCTGATGACGCCTTAACAACACGAGTAGCTGATGACGCCTTAACAACACGAGTGGCTGATGACGCCTTAACAACACGAGTAGCTGATGACGCCTTAACAACACGAGTAGCTGATGACGCCTTAACAACACGAGTAGCTGATGACGCCTTAACAACACGAGTAGCTGACGACGCCTTAACAACACGAGTAGCTGATGATGCCTTAACAACACGAGTAGCTGATGACTCAGTGGTGTATTCAATCAAGCAGGTTCAGGAGTTGCGGGGTATGGTGCTCATTCTAGTGGATTCGGCAGAGCAGCGCGAGCAGCCGAGGCTAGCAATGGCATGTATCCCAGTCTCTGGCTTGGCCTACTTGGTCCATCCATCCAGAGTGCCGACGCGGCAACGTGTGCTCCACTTCCAGACATGTTGAACGAATCCTCTCTCCCACGCGAAAGCAATCATTTTGACTCGCCTTTCCCCCCTCCTTCCTCTTCCTGTAACTCTCCTTCCTCTCGTTCCTCCTGTGACTCTCCTTCCTCTCCTTCCTCTCCCTGTGTCTCCGTTTTCCCACGCAGATGGAGGGGTTGAAGACGTCCAATGATCGGTACGCCATTGTCGAAAGCTACTACATCCTGGCACAGGCGTACGGGCACGTACCGGACCTCTACATCATGTGGATGCTGCACCTCTGTGAGGCGCACCAGGAGATGAGCCAGTGGGCCGAGGCTGCTCAGTGCGCTGTCTCCGTGGCAGGGGTGGTCATTCGGGTGAGTGATAGGTTATGATTTGTAATATTTCAAGATCAAGGGATTCGGTTTTAGGTGCCGGGTAGGGATGGGGGTGCAGGCGTCCAGGGGTGCAGGTAGGCATGCAGGGGTGCAAGCGCGCAGGCGTACGGGCACGTACCGGACCTCTACATCATGTGGATGCTGCACCTCTGTGAGGCGCACCAGGAGATGAGCCAGTGGGCCGAGGCTGCTCAGTTCGCCGTGTCCGCGGCGGGGGTGGTCATTCGGGTGAGCGCCAATGCCTCCCCCTTGCTCTGTACCTGTTTCTGTGCCTGTGCCCATACCTGTGCACGCGAGGCAAACCGCAGATGCTTACAATCAAACCGCACTGCACCTCCCTCATAAAACCCCGTCTCACAACACCGCAGGGCCTGCACGCGTCCACCACGAGGGAGTGCGCGTGGGAGGCCGAACACCTGGAGCTCCTCTGGCGAGTCTGCCCTCTGGCCCGCCACCAGTGGCGCGCACGTCCCTCGCGCCCCTCCGCCCGCCCCCGCCTCCCTAACGCCTCCAAGGGCGCTGCAGGCGGGGGAAGTGCGGGCGCGGCAGCAGGGGGAGGGGAGAGTGACTTTGGGGCGACGTGTCTGAACACGGACAGTGCGGTGAAATACCTGCAGATGGCGTCCAGCTTCTTTGCCAAGGCCGACCTCTTCCACTTCTGCGCTGAAATGCTCTCCCTCACCATCCCCGTCTTCCGCTTCCGCCGCGATTTCTACCAGGTACGTGTCCCATTGGGGCTGGGTGTGTGTGCGTTTGAGGCATCCTTAGCACGCATGCAGTGTACTGAGTAGGTGGGTGTGCCAGGCCTGTGCTGAGAGCTCTTCCATTCCTGCGCCGAGATGCTCTCCCTCACCAGGTAAGAGCCATCCCCGTCTTCCACTTCCGCCGCGACTTCTACCGGGTAAGGATGTCTCCCTTTTTTAGTCGACTCAAAGAATTCCAAGTGTGGCTCCTCTGGTAGCAGCGTCATCCAGTTGTTGCCTGTTCCGGAGGGTTGTGTGTCCACCATGCACCACATGTGACCATGGAGTCACATGTGTGAGAATACGCTGAAAAGGCCATCTTCCTCCTCCCCGCCCACCCCCACCTCCACTCCCCCCTTCACACATCTATTCTCCTCACCTCCGTGTTGCTCTCAGCATCTACGACAAATCGACACATCATGAGTATTGAGCCCCCCTTCCTCTCTCCCTTCACTCACATTCCTACTCTCTACATCCCTCTCTTGTTCCCTTGTGCAGCTGTCCAAGTGCCACACGTCGCTCTCAGGCATCTACGACAACGTGCTGGCGCAGGAGCAGAACCCAATCCCTTTCAAGGACGCAACATACTATCGAGTCGGCTTTTATGGGGAGCGATTTGGATACATTGATGGCAGGTGAGCTATTTCGTCCTCATCCAACCTATCCTCTCGGTATTGTCTAATCGTCTTACAATCTGCACAGCATCTGCTTCCCGTCCACACGCTCATTGCCATGCCATCCTCTTTCATTTCCTATCCACCTGCAGGGTGTTCATCTACCAGGAACCTCGGGAGGTACGGCTGGGTGACATAATGGAGGGGCTGAACCCTGGCTTTGCAAAGAGAAGCCTCTTTTCCATGCCCATCTCCATGCCAATCCCCTTCCCAACCGCAGGGAGTTCATCTATCGGGAGCCTTGGGAGGTACGGCTGGGAGACATCATGGAGAAGCTGAAATCGCTGTACGATGCGCAGGAGCCCGACGAGGACCCCCATGCCCACCCTTTTCCCTTACCATGCGCACGCCGACCACCCTCTCCCCCCCTCTTTCCCAAACCGCAGGGAGTTCATCTACCGGGAGCCGCGGGAGGTACGGCTGGGAGACATCATGGAGAAGCTGAAATCGCTGTACGACGCACGCGAGCCGGACGAGGAGCCCCTCCACGTCATCCAGGACTCGCGCCAGGTGGACCCCGCCGCCCTCAAGCCCGGCTTCGTCTACATGCAGATCACCGCCGTCGAGCCTGTCGTCGGGATCGGCGACGACCGCTGGCTCGGCCGAACCATCGACCCGGCCGTGGCGGGAGCTCCGGTGTTTAATTGCTTCTTTTTCGACACGCCGTTCACGCCGAACGGGAAGCAGCACGGGCGGATGGAGGACCAGTGGAAGAGGCGGACGCTGGTGTACACCCAGAGCACGCTGCCGAGCCTGATTACCCGGCAGCCGGTGGTTCGGTCGGAGGTTCGGGAGTACTCTCCGCTGCAATGCGCCGTGGAGATTATTGAAAACAGGTCGCATGCGCTAGAGATGGAAATGGCGAGCCAGCTGGGAGCGGCGGGAGGAGCAGGGGGAGGAATGGGAGGAGCAGGAGGAGGGGGACGTGTACCACAGGACCCAGCAGCAGTGACGGCACTGATAGCAGCCGCTGCGACAGCCGGCGGGACACTACGGTTGCCTCGGATACAGACGCTGCAGCGGTTGCTGCAAGGGAGTGTTGCGTTGCAGGTTAACAGCGGGGTGCTGGGTGTATGTATGGCTTTCTACGAGGCCAATCCTCATGGCCAGGAGCCGAGACCCAAGGACCCGTCGAAGCTTCAGTCACCATCGGGTGTTGAGACATTGACGGATGCCATCGTGCGGTTTGTGGTGGTATGCAAGCGGGCGGTGGCGGTGCACGGGCGGGCCGTGACAGAGGATGATAGGGATTTCCAGGAGCAGCTTGAGAGGAGCATGGAGGAGCTTGAGAGGGAGATCTCGCCCTTCATTCCAGTGCTTAGGAAATGAAAAATCCTGAAACTCATCCCGACGAGTTCGCGTCGTTCTAACAGGGCGGGTTAGGTCGAATGTATGTAGCAGTATAATCCTCCATTGGTTCGTGAAAGTGATCTGGAACTTGCCAGGACGGTGCAGGTCAAATCGAAGGCATCGGCAACTTTGCCGGAGAAATTTTAATATACCTGGCTCAATAACACTCAAGCTTAAAAGGGCCAGATTTGATCCTGTAGCCTGTATGCAGAGCCAGTAGCCAGCTGTTAGGAGTGTGATGGTTTTTTATGCAGGCAGTGAAATTATGGAGGTTCAGGGTAGAAAATGTATGTTGAAAGTTGAAACCCACCATGGGAATGCGTGCATCAGAATTCACGGTTCTAATCGAATGGAGGATCTATTTCCTGAGCGGATTTACGCATCAGTTCCGGCTGAAAAGCCCTGATCAATCAAATCCCTCGGTAATCAAACACTCCCCATTCGAGCGCTCGTCCACGTCAGGAGGCAGAGTCACTCTGATTGGGCGTGCCTGTCGAATCTCGGTCTGCTTTCACGTTGTGTTCTCCCTGTCAACCAATGAAAAGCACGAAAAACAACGGGCAGACCTTGAAAAGGAGTTTGTTTGGCAGATTTCTGCGCGAAAAGGGGAACTTTGTGCTGGCAGAGCTTATCCCGTAAAGATCTCACATTCTCACCCTTCGCCTCAAATTCGACCGCACCACCCTCTCCCTCCATACTGTACCTAGTTTTCATCCCCTCATTTTCCTCTCCTCACAAAGCTCATCATTCGACCACAGAAACACTAATTGCTGGGAGTTTTCTTCTCTCAAAACTGCATTGCCTACAACCTCGAATCACTACCTTGTTCGGGGCTCCACGTTGCTATTTGTATTTGTATTGTCGTCGCTTCGTACCAAGGCCCAGACTAGTATTCGTATCTAGCGTTTTCTCTCATCTGCGCGCGTCTCCCGCAACCGTCGCTCATGGCTGCCAGCATGTCTCTCGATGTGGGAGCCGTGCGGTGTCGCGACGTCAAGCTAGGGCAGTCGCCCTTCACGAGGAGTGCGGAATTTGCGAACGCCGTTAAGATGCCGTTGAACGCGGCGAGCACTCGGAGATCAAACGGCTGTCGGCTGTCGCTACGTGCAGCGATGATGGAGACGCCGCCGGTACCGATGAAGAGCCACGAGGAGCGAAACCTGTACGTCACACTTCCTATACCTCGTAAATTTTCCACTTTCGAGTCATATTCTAGAAACAACAAAAAGAACTCTAAACCCTTGTACTCCGGGCTGTGATCTTGTAGGCCTTGACTCTTGCCTGTCGCTCTGGTCTTCGAGTAGTAACCCGCTCGAAATGAGGAGGTAATCGATAGTTTTTTGGAGCTCGCTCGCTGGGTATGAGGAGCAGCCGGGAGGGTGAGGATATCTTCTCAGCGGGTGTCGCTTATCCGCAAATCCCCTCGCTCCGCTTGTTCCAGAGCGGCTTATAAAGCATGTGCATGGTAGTTTTACGATTTTGGCGGCAACTCATTTGGCTGGGAGTTATGCGTTAGCACGAGGAGCGCGAAACTGAGTGAATGGCTAGAAACTGTTAGATATGGCGGAAGCTTCAAAACTACACAACAGATGAACAAACAGATGGAAAGCATGAGTTTTGGATTCAATTTCCTTTCCCGCTTGATCTCCCATGCTCTCTCCGCTAGAGTATTTCCCCTGTCAGAAATTGGAATCGTATTGAAACAATTTCGAGTTTTGTGACTTCGTAAAACTTCCCTGGCACATCAATTTTCCCTCCTCGATGTCCCCCCCCTTCTCCCTACTCCATACTCATCATTTCTCTCTCTCCCACGCGAGATCAGATCGAGGCTGCGCTCCAAAACTCCCTCGTACTTCTCACCTCTCCCCCCCCGCCTCCCCGACCCCCCCACCAACCTCCTCCTTCCCTCCGTCGTTTCTCCTCCATTCCTCGTACGCGAGCAACTCACGGCCCTCGTCCCAACTCACATCCTTTTTATTCCCTCTCCCCTCCCCCCAATCCCTTTCTCCTGTCCGTTGCTTCTCCGTCTCCCTCTGTCGCGGGCCGCACATTGAGCAGATCAAGGCGCTCTCCCTCATAACGGCCATCAAGTCGCCGTACCTGCCGGACGTGATGAGACGGTGTTTGAGGCGCCTTGATAACCGTCGTCTCAAGTCCCGTCACCTTTCCCTATCCCTACCCCCCAGGCCGCACATTGAGCAGATCAAGGCGCTCTCCCTCATAACGGCCATCAAGACGCCGTACCTGCCGGACGGCCGCTTCGACCTTGACGCGTACGACGAGCTGGTGCACCACCAGATTGAGAACGGTGCAGAGGGGTTGATCGTGGGCGGGACGACGGGCGAGGGGCACCTGATGAGCTGGGACGAGCACGTGATGCTGATCGCGCACTCGGTCTATTGCTTCGGGAACAAGCTCAAGATCGTGGGCAACACGGGCAGCAACAGCACGCGCGAGGCCATGCACGCCACGGAGCAGGGTTTCGCTGTGGGCATGCACGCGGCGCTGCAGATCAACCCCTACTACGGCAAGACGTCGCTGGCCGGACTCAGGAGTCATTTCGAGTGAGTTCCCACCCGCCTCGCCAGTTTCTGAACCACTTTTCGTGAGTGCCTGCCTTGTCCGGTCGATCCGCAAAGAGAGATGATAGCTCCAACGCAGCAGGCGATGGACGGCAACAGTCAGTTCTTTATGGACCCGCCACGGATTCCTTTGGTGAACCGAACCTCTTATCTCCGCACTATCTCCAAACTACCCTCTCACTGTTTCCTCACCTTCTGCCATACCTCTCCCCTCCCCAACCACAACCCCCGCCTCCGCGTGTACTTATTCTTCACTCTCTAACAATCAACGGTGTCACACGCTCCCCCACCGCCCCCTCTGCTGGCCATAGGCTCGGCGATTGTGTGTGACTTACCCCCCCTCAACCTCCAACCGCCCCTTTCCCGCCTTCCATGGAGTGTGGTGCTGCCAATAGGCCCAGCCATAGTTTCCAGCATGTCTGCCGTTGTTCCCAGTGGCATCCCTTCTTTCTCCAACCGTCTTCCTTCAAATTCAACCACCGGCCCGCCCCCCCTCTCCTCCCCTGACAGTGTGGTGCTGCCAATGGGCCCGGCCATTGTGTACAACGTGCCGGGTAGAACGGGGCAGGACATTCCCCCTTCCGTGATCGAGGCCATCGCGACGCACGAGAACTTTTCCGGGGTGAAGGAGTGTGCGGGCAACGACCGAATCCACGGGTACGCGGAGAAGGGCATTGTGGCGTGGAGCGGCAATGACGACCAGTTTCATGATGCCAAGTGGAACCACGGCGGCCAAGGCGTCATCTCCGTCGTCAGCAATCTCGTTCCAGGCAAGCTTCTTCGTTCCCTGTATTCCAGGTTGTGGTTTTCTGATCCCCTCGTTTCCTGACATTTGCATGTCTACGACACTCAAATGTTCTTCTTTCCCCATCACTTGATGTTGCTTCCAACGTGGCTTTCATGTCACAGGACTCGTGACCCAGCTGCTCAAGGGCCCAAATCCAGAGCTGAATGCGAAAATTGCTCCTCTAGTGAACTGGCTGTTCGTGGAGCCTAACCCCATCGGCCTCAACACTGCACTGTGCCAGCTTGGGCTCGTCAGACCTGTCTTCCGCCTGCCGTATGTGCCGCTGAATAAGGAGAGCCGGCAGAAGTTTGTGGACATTGTGCATGAGATTGGGCTGGAGCACTTCCCAGGGGCCAAGGATGTGCGGGTGATGGAGGATGATGAGTTCCACATCATTACGCGGTTTTATTAGGTTGAGAGCCTTAGGCAAGAATACCCTAGGGACGATGATCGAGTGTTGTACCACTGAGTGATTTTTTTTTATATATATATAACAAACACTGTGTAAACGTGACCAGTATAGTACAATGCCCCCCCTTCCTGAAGTTCAATAACTGGGTATTTTTGTTGTGCATTTTGGCAGTTGTTTTGAGAGGATTAAAGCCCGTATGCAAAATAGTGACCCCCCCCTTCTAGTTGGGTCCAGTTGAAAGTCTCAAACTAAATTTGTATTGTTTTTGACGGTTGGAAGTGTTGTGGTTTTTTTTTTGGATCCCTCACTGAACGAGTGTGATCAATTTTGAGCGAGCACATACGAAACCGTCGCATCCAATTCACTTGGATTTGCACACAAGAATGTTGCAAGTTTGCGACATCCCACTCTCATTCTTCCCAACAGCGAGCACCGTCCAATTCATCCGCCTTACATATGGGAATAAACACAAGAGAAAAAACGGGAGGGAAAAAACCGAGTTTTAAAGATGATGGGATGGGATGGCGAAGAGCGAAGAGAGGGCATTTCCGAGCGCGAGGGTGACGATGCGGGAGATGGGAGGGGAGAGATGTAAAGGCGACGGCAGGGAGTGATGGGATAGGAGAGAGGAAGGGCGACGGTGGGGAGTTTCGGGGCGTGTGCGAGGGCGACGCGGGGAGCGACGGGATGGAAGAGAGGAAGGGCGACGGGAGGGAGTTTTGGGGCGTTGGCGAGGGCGACGAGGGGAGGGACGGGATGGGAGAGAGGAAGGGCGACGGGAGGAAGTTTCGGGGCGTGTGAGAGGGCGACGAGGGGAGCGACGGGATGGGAGAGAGGAAGGGCGACGGGAGGGAGTTTCCGACGGTTGGCGAGGGCGACGAGGGGAGCGACGGGATGGGAGAGAGGAAGGGCGACGGGAGGAAGTTTCGGGGCGTGTGAGAGGGCGACGAGGGGAGCGACGGGATGGGAGAGAGGAAGGGCGACGGGAGGGAGTTTCCGACGGTTGGCGAGGGCGACGAGGGGAGGGACGGGATGGGAGAGAGGAAGGGCGACGGGAGGAAGTTTCGGGGCGTGTGAGAGGGCGACGAGGGGAGCGACGGGATGGGAGAGAGGAAGGGCGACGGGAGGGAGTTTCCGACGGTTGGCGAGGGCGACGAGGGGAGCGACGGGATGGGAGAGAGGAAGGGCGACGGGAGGGAGTTTCCGACGGTTGGAGAGGGCGACGAGGGGAGGGACGGGATGGGCGACGGGATGCGCGATGGGATGGGCGACGGGATGGGCGACGGGATGGGCGACGGGATGGGCGACGGGAAGGCAACGGGAGGAGCCACGGAAGGGCGACGACGATCGCGACGGTGTGCGAGGACGACGGGACGGCATAATGGGCGGGTGACTGGACGGGGGAACAGGACGGCTATGGGGCAGGAGAAGTGATCGCGTGTGTAAGGGAGGCGAGAGGAGATCGCGTGGGCGACGGGACGGAAAAACGCGGGCGCAAAGGGACGGACTGAAAGCCTTACACTCGTAGCTCTCGGATACAACACGTCGGACATTCTGATTAATACATGTCTAGATAACGAGGGCCTAAGTCAAGACATAGCCTATGCCTAGCCTTGCTACTTATAACTTTCGACGCAAATTTGGTAGTAGTTCACCCCATCCCAACTTGAAACATAAGGTGGGCCGAAATCGCTTGGACAGACTGAAACGATCGCCTATGCAGTTGTCGTGCAACGAGAAATGCGACGCCATACATCACGAGAATGTTTCAATTTTGGCGGGAACCAATCAAAGGTGTTCGATTTGCACGTCCGCAGCGTTTGAACTGGTACAAACATGTCAGTCCGGTCCAAAATTTGTTTCGACCGGCAAACTCGTCCCTGCACTCTTTCAAGTTGGGTTTGGGTTCACTATTTTGCATACGGGCTTTAAGTGTACGTGTCCTTTACACTGCATTCATTTGTTGCGTTTGCTCACTCAAGTCACGTCCAAAGGCTTGTCCACTTGCCCGTTTCACTTTTCCGCCAATACCTGGGACAATATCGAGGTCCGACCAACCATTCACCCCCATCCCCCCATTACCTACTGCTCGTGTGGGACCCAGCCCAACATTCCCTGTCAAACAATTCATTAATTTGACCGCTCTGGAACGCAAAGAATCTTTCTGAAACCGAAACAAACGCAACATCCGCTGCTCTGCTTCCGCGCTTGACCATCACAATCGCATGGCGCCTAAAAACATTGTTGCCCAACTCCCCCCACTTATGTTCACACACCCCACATTGTTGACTGACGACCCCTAGCCAATAAAGAAACATTGCAGCTCCTGCTCACTAGTCTCTGTGGGTCTGTCGATTCCCACTGCTGTCCTTGTTTCCTTGCCCCGGCATCCTTCGTGAAGATTAGTTATTCGTACGGAGGCGTGTCGTGGTTTCTCTGATGCGACGCGGGGCTAGGTGTCTTTTGGTGCGGAGTCGTTTCTCGCCTGCGCGGAACGAGTCGCAGTGAGAGCCGTGGTGCATCATGTGGGCGATCTGGGGGAAACAGCGAGAGCGCTTCTCGCTCGAAGAGTTGAAGTAAGCGTCGTCGTTTCTAGCTTGTAGAAAGATACGGAAGCGAGGCGGTCGATGTGCGATTTAATACAGCTTCTTAATATTTTACCTACAGCTTCTAGTCTGTTCACTTTGTTGTTTGCTTAGTCAACTGATTTCCGGGCCTCCTTTACTTCGTTGCTTATTCTCTACTCAGGCATCTCAATGACGTGCTTCAGAAACACGCAATAATCAGCGATGCGAACAAGGTTCGTTCGAAATCAGCCATGTCGCGATACGAGCATCATAACGTACTTTACAACCCTATTTTACCGTGCTTTGTAGACACCAGCCTTGTTTGAAAGCGTCTCGCTCCCAGTGATTCTGTCCGAAGAGCTCATAGAGAAGAGTATTGCATCGGTGTTTCCGATTTGTCCATGGCTTACCTCCTCGCTTCTTAATCCTTCTCGCTAGAGCTGTTCCTGTTCGCATTTCGGTTCCATCAGGACACTGTAGTGGAGACGTTGAGGTCTATAGCGGAGCTGATGATATGGGGGGACCAGCACGAGCCTGCATTTTTTGAGTAAGCTCAGGAGAGCAGAGTATTGGTGGTATCGCGTTTCTGATCCCATTCCTTCAGTTTATAAACATTTGTCCGGTTGCGAGCCCGTACGAGTCACGGTCTCTTACGATAGCTATCCAGATGAAATGCTCTTCTAGGTAGTTCCGTACCCCGAGCTCTGCTTTTCAAACGTGCTTTTGTTTCACTCGCCTGCTTCCCGGAGGCTCTTCCTGGAGCAGGCCGTTTTTTTTGTCTCACTCTCAACCTTGTCTCCGCCCAACCACTCACCTGCGGTGCGCAGGTTCTTTGTGGAGCAGGGCGTGTTCGCGCAGTTCATCCGCATCATGGCGCTGGCCAATCAGCCGTCGCCTCAGTGCGAGGGGGTCATGGTGCAGCTGCTGCAGACGCTCAACCTCATGATTCAGAACCTCAAGAGCGAGAAAGCCATCTGTGAGTGTGAAAAACTATGCCAGGCTTTTAATTAACTAGCTTACACGTTCCCCTCCACTGTTCGCTCTCGCCAGTAGCCCCCAGCGCCTTGGCAATGCCACCCGCTTCCTCAACTTCCCCACCCTGACTGCGTTTTCAGTAAAGAGCAGAATCTCAATGCCATCAACCTCCCATCCCCTTCCCTCTTCCCCTTCAACGGTCAACCCCTCTTCCCCTCCCCGGCCCCCCCACCTCCCCTCCCCCCCCCTCCTCTTCTCCCCCCTCCCTTCGCCCCTGTTGTTTCCGCCCCTCCTCCCTTTGTTTCCTACACCCCTGCTTCTCCTTCAGCAAGGAGCACAATAAAACTTCCCCCCCTCTCTCTTCCACCCCGTCGTTGTCACACCACTCCCTCACCCGTTCCACTTTCCTCTCACCCCCCTGTCCCCGCCCAACAACATGGCGCGACAGACAACATGTGCAGCGAGGAGCACATCAACAACTTCATCTCCATTGCTCCACCTCAGCCCCCTCGAACCCCTCCACAACCCCCATTCCCCCACCTTTTTCACACCCTCTCACCACCACACCTGACACCATGCACCCCCCTGGCAGACTACATGTTCAGCAAGGAGCACATCAACAACGTCATCTCCTTCCCCTTTGATTTTTCTGATGAGGAGCTGCTCGCATACTACATCTCCTTCCTCAAGTGAGCGACCACCTCTTGCGTGCTTTCCCATCCCACCATGTCTTCTCCTCCAATCCCCTTTCCTTTCATCTCCATTGAAAGGCTTATTGTTTGACCTTGAATTTGACTGCAGCCTTCATGTGCCCCGTTTTTTTTTTTCTCTCTCAATCCACCACTGCACTTGGTTGGTTTGCTCTCTGTGAGATTTGCATCGTGCCCATCTGCGCATGCACATGCATCCCCAGTCGGGCATAGGAGCTCCCAGTCGGGCATAGGAGCTCCCAGTCGGGCATAGGAGCTCCCAGTCGGGCATAGGAGCTCCCAGTCGGGCATAGGAGCTCCCAGTCGGGCATAGGAGCTCCCAGTCGGGCATAGGAGCTCCCAGTCGGGCATAGGAGCTCCCAGTCGGGCATAGGAGCTCCCAGTCGGGCATAGGAGCTCCCAGTCGGGCATAGGAGCTCCCAGTCGGGCATAGGAGCTCCCAGTCGGGCATAGGAGCTCCCAGTCGGGCATAGGAGCTCCCAGTCGGGCATAGGAGCTCCCAGTCGGGCATAGGAGCTCCCAGTTGGGCATAGGAGCTCATGTGCACATGCATGTGCGCTGCTGCTGCAGGAGACCGCTGCCCCTCATATGTGCGTGTTGCACGTGTCTGTGTGTTGTGCACCCACTCCGTCCCTTCCTCCCTCCCATGGCAGGACGCTGAGCATGAAGCTGGACAAGTCTACCATCTCCTACTTCATCGTGGAAAAGGAGGTGCGCCTCACACCACCACTTTGTACCGATGCGAACCTGTAGCATTTGTAATAGCAGCAGCAACGTGTGCCGTGGATACCACCATCATACAAGTGTAGATCAACTTTGCCAAGTGAATACCGGTAGGCCGGTCTGATGCTGCAGCAGGCACTGTGCTGTGTGCACCGTGTGTTGCATCCGCATCCACTCACTGTTCTCGGTTCTTAGTTTATCCCATGGCAGTGGGATACTGATGCAGTGGCTGCTTGGCTTGTATGGTTGTGGAATGCACACATGAGTGCGAGCTGACATGGAATGCAACGCATGGATGGTGACAAGGCATGGCTCGATGGTGACATGGAATGGTTGGATTGGATGGTGACGCGGTATGGTATGGTTTAAGAATTACTTCCATTGGGTTTCATGGTGATGTGGAATGGTTGTATGGATGCAGGATGGCAGCAGCGCCTTCCCCCTGTATGTGGAGGCAATCCGCTTCTTCCATCATGAGGAGAGCATGGTCCGCATCGCCGTGCGCACTCTCACCCTCACCATCTACAATGGTATGTCATTCCTCTCTCCCCTCCATTTATTCCTTCCTTGCATGAAACCCTCCCACACCCTCCCACACCACCAACCCTCCCCTGGTCATTTCCTCGACTTGAAAGCGTTGCCACACCCTCCCACACCACCAACCCTCTCCTCTCCCCCGCACCCCCACCAACACACACACCCAACCCCTTCTGACACACTACCAGTGCATGACGAGCGGGCCAACCGCTTTGTGCTGAGCCCATCAGCCATCCGGTACTTTGAGGACCTCGCCATTTTCGTGCGCCAGCAGAGCTTCACTCTTGCTCGCCTCGTTGCCAACGCTGTCAGGTGGGGGGGTCACGGGTGGTGTGGGTGGGTGCATGGGCATGGGTGAATGAGAGAGTGAATGGGCACTTTGCTGGGTCGATGGGTGGGTGGGTAAGTCAGTGGTCTGGTCTACTACTGCTACTGCAAGAGCAGGGAGAGAGTGATAGCTGGGTAAGCTGACCTCATGAGAGCGCTGGCTCACCCAGCTCTCCCTCCTCCCTTCCTGTATTCCCCACCCACCCACCCACCCACCCACCCACCCACATACCCTCCCGAGCACAGGAACTTTGGGTCGATAGTGGACGTGGGGCGAGTGGAGGCGTCTACAGCGGAGATCGGCGATCTGCTGTACTACTGCAACGACGTCATGAGCACTTACATCCCCCAGCTCTTACTCCTCCCTTCCTGCCCCGTGTGCCCCCACCCACCCACCCAACCACCCACCCTCACCTGAACACAGGAACTTTGGCTCAATAGTGGGCGTGGGGCGAGTGGAGGCATCAATAGCGGAGATCGGCGATCTGCTGTACTACTGCAACGACGTCATGAGCACTTACATCCCCCAGCTCTTACTCCTCCCTTCCTGCCCCGTGTGCCCCCACCCACCCACCCTCACCTGAACACAGGAACTTTGGCTCAATAGTGGACGTGGGGCGAGTGGAGGCATCAATAGTGGAGATCGGCGATCTGCTGTACTACTGCAACGACGTCATGAGCACTTACATCCCCCAGCACTTACTCCTCCCTTCCTGCCCCGTGTGCCCCCACCCACCCACCCACCCACCCTCACCTGAACACAGGAACTTTGGCTCAATAGTGGACGTGGGGCGAGTGGAGGCATCAATAGCGGAGATCGGCGATCTGCTGTACTACTGCAACGACGTCATGAGCACTTACATCCCCCAGCTCTTACTCCTCCCTTCCTGCCCCGTGTGCCCCCACCCACCCACCCACCCACCCACCCTCACCTGAATGCAGGAACTTTGGGTCGATAGTGGACGTGGGGCGAGTGGAGGCGTCTATAGCGGAGATCGGCGATCTGCTGTACTACTGCAACGACGTCATGAGCGCCGGCATCCCGCAGCTCTTACTTCTCCCTTCCTGCCCCGTGTGCCCCCACCCAACCACCCACCCACCCTCGCCTGAATGCAGGAACTTTGGGTCGATAGTGGACGTGGGGCGAGTGGAGGCGTCCATAGCGGAGATAGGCGATCTGCTGTACTACTGCAACGACGTCATGAGCGCCGGCATCCCCCAGCTCTCCGAGGTGGTCTCAGAGCACCTCCTCAGCATCTGGGTCTTCCCTGTTCTTCTCGCCTCGCTCTCCCCCGAATCCGGCTCCCCCAATGTAAGTGTAGGACCTGCAGTTTAGTCCACGCCCACGGTTTGCCTCGTGCTTTGCCTCTCCCCATATCCCTTACCCCCAGGCACAGACCACCTCGCCGTGATGTACCTGCTATGCCTCACTCCTGTAGCCTATTATGTATCTCACCTCCCATCCCATCCCCCTCTTCTCCATCATCCCTCCAGGCAAAGCGCATATCACCGCTGTGCGCCATGTATCTGCTGTCGCGTGTGCTGCACGTGGTGACCTACCGCCCCTTCCTCGACACCGCCACCCGCTCCATCGCCGCCTCCCTCTCCGCCAGCCCTGCTGGCTCCGACGGGGTGCTGCCGCAGCTGTATGAATTCCAACAGCAACAGGGGAAACCGCAGGAGAAGCAGCAGGAGAAACTGCAGGAGAAAAGGCAGGAGAAGCAGCAGGTGAGGAGGAGCAGAAGTGCATCTGCGGATTTTGGGGTTCAGGATAGCGAGTTTGGTGTAGGGAAAGGGAGGGAAGGAGCTTCTGGTGGTGCTGGTAGTGCGGCAGCAGCATTGGTAGGAGCAGTGGCTGCAGTGGCAGGATCAGCAACAGCAGGTCACAGGTTGTCTGATAACCATCACCTCTCTGCAAGACCTCCAGTCCCCCCTCCTGTTCACCTTACAACCCCTGCTTCTGTTTCTGCTGCTCAAGGCATAGTCTCCCCACCTTCTGCAACTGCAGCAGCAGCAGAGGGGAGGGATGGAGGGGCGAGTGCAGGAGGAGTGGCAGAAAGGGGAGAATCCTCAGCATCCGAGGGTAAGAAGGCCAAGTGGCCGTTGTCAGCACGACGTGGCATTGCGGACTCGCCTGGGGGTTCCTTCTCAGAGAGACTGGACGGACGGGAGGGCAGAGATGGGGACAGTGAGGAAGCAGGGGAGAGAGGAGGGGAGAGAACAGGGGAAGGCAGGGAAGATGTAGCTGCAGCAGATGCGCCGAACGGGTATGTTGCTGGAAGGGAGGAGGCAGAAAGCAAGCAAGGGGAAGATAAGAATCGTGGGGATGATGGGAATCGCAGTGGTGGTAGGAGTGGTGTTGTGCGGTCAGCATCGGCACGAGACAGGCCGGCTCTGTCGGCTCGAAGGCACCTCAGGACCCAGAGCAGTGGCAGCAGCTTTACTGACTCGCCCCAGCGCATCAAAAGCTCTGACTCCCCTCCTCAGCACATCAAGAGGTCCGATTCTCCGCAGCTGAATGAGAGTTCGGATGCGGTTCAGGGGAGCTTCAGCTCGCCCCTCAGGAGCTCGCCCCTCAGGAGCTCGCCTCTCAGGAGCTCCCCGTACAGGAAGCAGCGCCATGCCTCTGACACCATCATCCTGGACCTTGATCCCACCGCCAGCGCCTGGTATGTTATGTTCCCCTTCCGCCTCTGCTCCCCTACCATCGCCTCTACTCCCCCACCCCCTCCTCCCCTCCCCCCAACCCCGCTGCTACCCCCGCCCCCTCCTCTGCCCCCATTCCCCCTCCCCTGTCTTTCCAACCTCTCCTCTCCCCCTCCCCCACCCACCCCTCTCCGCATACCCCACTACCACCAGTGCTGGTATGCTTCCTCCCGCGTTACGCGCCAACAGTACTGGTCTTGTGCCCTGTCACCCAACTTATTCCAACGTCTGTGCTTCACTCTTTCCCTTTCCCCTCCTCAACCTCCCACCCATCGTCTCTCGCCCCCAGGGACACGATTGTATCTTACCTGCTGTGCAACAACGGGCGTTGAGCGGTGGGTGCTGGCATGGGTGTTTCCCGTCGCTCACTCCTGCATTCCTCTCTTTCCCCTCCTCAACCTCCCACCCATTGTCTCTCGCCCCCAGGGACACAATAGTATCGTACCTGCTGTGCAACAACAAGCGGTGGGTGCTGGCGTGGTTGCTTCCTGTTGTCCACTCTCCCAATCTCTCCCTTTTCCCTCCTCGATCTCCCACCTTTCTTCATCTCTCGCGCTCGGTCTTTCTCCTCCCCCAGGGATACGATAGTGTCATACCTACTGTGCAACAACGAGCGGTGGGTGCTGGCGTCGCTCTGCGTGCTCTGCGGTCTGCTCCAAAACACAGGTGGGCGGAGCAGGGCCGCAGGGGGGAAAATGAGGCTTGGTAGGAGGAATGTCTTTAGCTGGGGTGCTTGAGATGCAAAGTTGATGAGGGAGGGAGATTGAGAAAAAAGGAGGGGCAACGACAGCAAGGACTCCTTGCCGCCCTTGCGACTCGTACATGGAGAAGCTGGGCATGCTACCGTGCAGCTGTGTTTCTCTCATGAGTCTCATCATGCCCCATCCCGCCATCCCTCCCACCCTGCCCGACTCACGGTCACTCCAGAGGTGCAGGACTCGTTACTGGAGGAACTGGGCATGCTGCCGTGCAAAAGCAATTCTCTCATAAGACTCATCACGTCCCATCCCGCCATCCCGCCCACCCTGCCCCCCTCACTCTCGGTCACTCCAGCGGTGCACGACTCGTTACTGGAGGAACTGGGCATGCTGCCGTGTAACCGCCGCCACCGACGACTCCTCGTGGTCAGTCACCCCTTGCATTGCTCGCTCGCCCTTGCTCGCCCTCTTGCTGTCAGTCACCCCTTGCATTGCTCGCTCGCCCTTGCTCGCCCTCTTGCTGTCAGTCACCCCTTGCTCACTCGCCCTTGCTTGCCCTCTTCCTGTCAGTCACCCCTTGCTCACTCGCTCTTGCTGGCCCTCTTGCTGTCAATAGTGGGATTGACATTGACTACTTACTTACTCCAAGGCACAGCGTGAGACCTTTACCTACTGGTTTGTGGTGACCTTTGAGGCAACTCAAAACACACTCAATGAAATCAATGCTGGGAATAAATTACCCCTGTCCCCTTCTCACCCCCGGACTGCCCTCCCTCCCCTCCCATGCGCATGTGGCAGGAGGCATTGGTGGGTAACCAATCAGAGGAGCAGCTAAAGCGGCTGCTGAGGCGGCAAGACAGTGATGCAGTGGAGAGGGGGGAGCAGGCGGAGGCAGGGGGTTTGGGGGATGGGAGGGGCGGAGGGGGAGCAGGGGGAGGCGCGGAGGAGGGCAGGGAGGTTATTAGTCTGTCCCATGGAGCAGCAGAGGCACCATTGGAATCATCAGCAGACGCAGCTGTAGCACCAGCACCAGCAGCAGGCTCTGATGCCAGCTCAGCAGGATTCTCTGTAGCAGCTAGGGCGGAGTTGAGGGGTGACAGTAGCGGGGGTGAGTGCAGCGAGTGTGGCAGCAGCAGCAGAGGGTCGGGCAGTGGGCGATGGGCTATGGGGGCAGGAGTAGGACCGGTGCTAGGGAGTAGATTTATGGCCGTGGGGGGTGGCGGGGAGGGGGGTGAAGGAGTAGGGGGGCGTGATGGTGATGGCGGCCTGACAGGGAGAGGAGGTGAAGAGAAGGGGAATGAGAGAGGGGGAGGAGGTGCAGTGCTGGATGAGCAGCGGGATCGAGCCGAGGGGAAGGTGAGCAAGCCCCAATTGCCCGTCTCCCTGTCTCCTTGAATGCCCCCAGTCATCCGAATTCAGCGTGCAGCAAAGATTAATTCGCCTTGGAACGTGTTTTCCTGCGTAACCCCTCACGCCCCCCCTTGCAGGCATCTCCATTCAGGTGTGCAGCGTGTGGGTGCGGTGGGGCAGACACCCCGTCATCGAAACAGCACTCCAGAAAGAGACGACAGGTGCGCGATGAGGAGTGGTGTGGCGTGGTGCCAGGTCTATGATGCTGTTTGTATGGTGGTGTGATGGCACGATGGTGTGATGCCATGGCCGTATGATAATGGCATGGTGGTTTTTTAGCCTTGGCCGTATGATGATGGTGTGATGCGATGGCCGTATGATGATGGCGTGATGGTGTGACGCCATGGCTGCGTGATGATTGTGTGGTGGTGGTGTGATGCCATGCATATACAATATTTTCCCCACCTCTTTCCTCCCCCCTCCACAACCCCACACCCCTGCTTCCCTCCTGCTCCGCTCTCCCTTGTCCACCACCCCCAGGTGGTGGACACGGTGGACAGTGGACATCGTTTTGACTCGACTCAAAACAACCCCAGGTGGTGGGCACGGTGGACATCTTGTCGTTCTTGTCCCCTGCGTCTTCACTCTCCGCCCCCCTCCCCCTCCCACGCCCCCACCCCCTCACACACCCACCCCCAGGTGGTGGACACGGTGTTTGTGCTGCTGTGCAAGAGACCGCCGCCCTCACCTGAAGCCCTGTGGCACGCTGGCTGGCTGCTGCGCCAGCTGCTGCCGCCCAGCCATCGATTGCAGTCAGCACATAAGAAGCTGCTTACTGTACGTATGCGGGTCTTACTCGCTCTCTTCAGCTATGTACGACAAGATGTGCTCTGTATCCGTGCATGAGATGTGCTCTGTATCCGTGCATGAGATGTGCTCTGTATCCGTGCATGATATGTGCTCTGTATCCGTGCATGAGATGTGCTCTGTATCCGTGCATGAGATGTGCTCTGTATCCGTGCATGATATGTGCTCTGTATCCGTGCATGAGATGTGCTCTGTATCCGTGCATGATATGTGCTCTGTATCCGTGCATGAGATGTGCTCTGTATCCGTGCATGAGATGTGCTCTGTATCCGTGCATGAGATGTGCTCTGTATCCGTGCATGATATGTGCTCTGTATCCGTGCATGAGATGTGCTCTGTATCCGTGCATGAGATGTGCTCTGTATCCGTGCATGATATGTGCTCTGTATCCGTGCATGATATGTGCTCTGTATCCGTGCATGAGATGTGCTCTGTATCCGTGCATGATATGTGCTCTGTATCCGTGCATGAGATGTGCTCTGTATCCGTGCATGAGATGTGCTCTGTATCCGTGCATGATATGTGCTCTGTATCCGTGCATGATATGTGCTCTGTATCCGTGCATGATATGTGCTCTGTATCCGTGCATGAGATGTGCTCTGTATCCGTGCATGAGATGTGCTCTGTATCCGTGCATGATATGTGCTCTGTATCCGTGCATGAGATGTGCTCTGTATCCGTGCATGATATGTGCTCTGTATCCGTGCATGAGATGTGCTCTGTATCCGTGCATGATTTGCCATTCCTCCCCTTCCCAAATCACCTCTTCCAACACATCGCTTGGTAGCTTAGCTTGTACGATTCGTTGCTTGTCCCAACCTTTCCTTCTCCCCATGGACCCGCGTACAGCACGCGTATGAGCTGGCACGTGGTGATCTCGTGGGAGAAGCCATAATACTGCTGGCAAGTGTTTTGTGTCCATCGGTCTCCCTCCCTCCCCCCTCCCCTCCTCCCGCCCCATATCACCGCGTGCAGCACGCGTATGAGCTGGCGCGTGGTGACCTGGTGGCGGAGCTCCTGGACTGCTGGTGCGACATGCTGCCTGCTGCCATGGTGGAGGAGTGGAAGGCATGCCGGAAAGGTACAGAGCGGTGCAAGGGTGTGTGGATGCTGTACACATATCGAAAGAGATGCAGCACCGTGTTCCTCTCGTCGTCCCTTCATGTTTCTAAGCGTCTGAGTTTTTTCTAGATGTTTGAAAACTCCACTTCTGCAATCTCTGTCCCACAATTTTCTCTCTGTGCAACCCTTCTTCTCTCCTCTTCTTCTCCTCATCCTGTGCATCTTGCCTCTTCAGTCCGAGTCACTGTTTCACTCCATGGTTCGTCTCATTCTTTCACTCCACCTTCCGCCTCCCTAAACCCCCCCCTCAACTCTATTCCCCTCTCCTAATGCATGTTCATCCCCACTCGTCTCTCCCGCTGTCACTCCCCCAACAGCATTGGAATCAGCCACGCTGACCAATCACTCCTCTCTCGTCCTCATGCCCAGCCTCCCTCAACTCTCGCCCCTTTTCCCCATGCGTGTCTCTCCCCATACGCGAATCCCCCTCCATCGCTCCCCCAACAGCATTGGAATCAGCCACGCTGGCAAATGACTCGTCGCTCGTCCTCATGCCCAGCCTCCCGCCCCTCCTCACTGACGGTGCGTGCACACCTGCTGCTAGGTGAATCTCCGAGGCTCTCAAAGCCCACCTATGAGATTCCCTGTACATATCCATTGGAGTGCATTATAAACATGACTGGTTGAGCCGTTGTTAGTGTTGGCCCCAGTTGCAAGTTTCTGCATATTTTTTTCCATTTTTCTTTCTTTCCCTCGCGTTTCAGTTCGTTTTGTTTCGTTCAATTTCTGGACCGCACTGAAGTTCTGTGTTCTTGTCTTGTCGCTGTGTTGCATTGCAGGTGACTCATCTTCTGCAGCGTTTGGCGAGAGAATGCGCACTGTGGTCAAGGTGGGTTGCTGGTTGATAATAAGTTGCTGGGTGAATGTGTGTTGCTAAGTGAAGGTTGGTTGTTGGGTCAAGGTGGTTGCTGGTTGTTAATAAGTTGCTGGGTGAGTGTGTGTTGCTAAGTGAAGGTTGTTTGTTGGGTCAAGGTGGGTTGGTGGGTCAGGGAAAAAAAGGGTGTAACTAGTGCTAATTTTAATGCGCAAAGGTATTCATCATGGTTGTTAATTGGGACTGCACCAGATGCATGCTTCTAACGCGCCTTAAAATCCAACCATTTATTTCCTGACACAATCATTCACACACTCTCTCCCTCTCTCTCAGGTGTACGTGCCGCTGCACCAGATGCGAACCACTCTGTTCGAATTTATGCGTTTATTAAGAGTTCTCAAAAATCAATCCCCTCCCTCCCTCTCTCTCAGGTGTACGTGGCATTGCATCAGATGAGAGCCACGCTGCTCGGCCTGCCTCTCCCGGACGTCCCTCCTCTCGCCACAGCAGCCCCTCCTGTCCTCGACGCCAGGTTCGGCCGCAAGGGGCTCAATCTGCCTCAGGCACAAGAAGGCACCGAGGTGCCTCTAGGTAAGTGCCTCCCTCCCTTGTCTGCTTCCGTCCTCAGTTATGCCTTTCCTTGAATGTGCCTCCATGCCTTGCAATGTCTTGTTTTCCCCTTTCTCAAGAGTAAGCTGCTTTCTGCACACTCCCATCGCACCGTCCATTAAGCATTCTCTCATTCCTTCACTCCTGAATTTCTCCTCAGGGTCACCCATCCTTGTCATTTAACTGTTGAACGTGCCATGGAGACCAACCGCGAGCTCCCTGCAACCCACCCCCTCCGCTCACCTTCCTGCGCCTCCCTTTGCAGAGCCCGGCGACGCCATCCCATGCCGGGTGGCATTTGAGCGGGGCAAGGAGAAGCACGTGCTGCTGCTGGTGGCCTCCTGTGCGGCCAACGGGTGGGTGCTGCTAGCAGAGCCGCCTGCGGGCATGACTGCCAAGGCTGCTGTGGCCGAAGGGGCGATAGGGGTGGTCCGCGTCGTCGCTCCACTCGCAGGCTGCCAGGTTGGTGAATCCCCTGCTGCATTTCTTTTTTATTCTTTTTCTTTTTTCTTTTTTTCTTTTTTTTTTCCCCTCGCTCCGCACTCAAGAATTTCATAACTGAGTTATACAGCACTCCACCTGTGCTTCACATGTGCTGCACTGTGCTTAGCACCTCAACTTCCCAATGCTTCTCCCTGCCCATGCACCAGCCATCACTGGACCCGAAGCACAAGCGCTGGCTGCATCTGCGCATCCGCTCACCCCAGGCCCCGGCCTCTGATGCTGGTACTCTCGCCTCTCGCTCCCCCATGGGCTCCCGGGCCCGCACCAAGCGCTTGGCGGATGGGCGGTGGACCTTGGCGTTTTCAGATGAGGCTGCGTGCCGATTTGCACACCTAGCAGTGCAGGAGGAATCGTATGTGCAAGGGAATGCTGTGCGAAGCATGTTGCTTCCCCTGGTTGGAAATGTTGAGCCCTTTCTGTTGCAGAGGGAACAGACCGATTGAAGAAGTTATGCATGATTTCATCTGTTAGTCAAAATATTGGACAAGCATCTTTTTTCTGTGTTGCCCCTATACTACCATTACGTTTGAGTTGCATTCTTCGGTTTGAGGAGAAAATGCGATTTTTAGTTGAACATTTGAGTGGCGAGCTCACCAGCGTCTCGTAACATTTCGTCTTGTTCGCTCAGGTATTGTGGGCAGTCTTATCACAGGCATGTGTTTCTGGCACTGCCCTTGCGAAATCCCGAAAGGGAGCATCGTTTCGCTGATTGGTGATGTGAAAATCCACAAACATGGGCTCCGTGCTCTGTGCGCCACGAGTTTCCATCATTGCGGGCTGACCACAGCATATGAATTTCACCCGGAAGAGCTGCCTACATGGCAGCACAAGGAGCACAACCTTGTTCTTCGCGCGCACAGCTTCGTTTCAGCAACTGCCACCTCGCACACCTCAAACCAGCTCTGGTTTGAAGGACAAGGAGATGTGTCCTTGATCGTTGGATTTTTCATGTCAACCTTTGCCCAATCTTCGCACCTCATTTCGACCGCACGATCACCTTTCGTCGGATTCTCCCCAGCAACACCAAGAGCGCCAAGCTCCTCCCCATCCTAGCCCTTGGAACAGAATCCTACCAGATGAAACTGCTGTAAAACTACCAGTAGCACCTGAAAGTGTAGCTTGAGTAGTCTTATATTTTTCAAGCACGACATTCAAGGTGATTCCAGGTGTCACCAGTAACTTGAGCACTTAGAGAGATCAACAGACTATCAGCAATGGCTACCGTCCGTGCTCTCTCTCAGTGCCAAGTTGTGGCCGGAGCGGCCACTGCTCTCGGCTTTTCGGACTCTTCATCCGTGAAGGGCCTGAAGTCGCTCAATGGCGCACGATGCCAGTCACGCGTCGTCGCCATGGCCACCAAGAAGAAGGTAAGTTCAGCATTTTTAAGAGTTCACTCCGGAAAGGCAACTTTTATGGAAATTAAACATGCGAACCTTGTCACGTCTTCTACTTACGGGCAATAGGATGGTTATTCAAATGGGATTAAGCGTAATTCGGTCAAACTTTCGTAACTTCACCTTTTATCAAGCTTCTTACTTATCATAATGCTTCTACCCCCTGCAGGTGAACACCTACCTCGATGACTGGAGAAAGGAGTTCATCGGGTACGGTCTCTTCGTCGAGGATTCCGAGTCCGCTCCCGTGAACATCGTGCAACAGCTGGAGAAGAAGAAGCTTCTCTCGCAGGTCGAGAAGGCCGGTCTTCTCTCCAAGCTCGAGTCATCGGGTCTCACGCTCTCCAAAATTGAGGAGCTCGGCCTTCTATCCAAGGCCGAATCTCTCGGTCTGCTCAGCCTTGCCGAGAAATTCGCCACCACTCCCGCCGGTACCTTCGCCTCTGCGGCTCTCCCGCTCCTCGTCGCCGCCATTGCTGTGCCGGTATTAGTGCCTGACGACAGCACTGCCCTTGTGATTGGCCAGCTCACAGTCGCTTCTCTCCTGGCTCTCGCTAGTGTCACATCTTTCACGTTGTCCCTCATCCTCGGTCTCCTCCAAGAGTAGGATCTCTTTTAGCAAACCATCACATGTAATTTACGACCTACAACCTAATATAGCTCTATACCTACACGAATGTTCCGTAATGGCCGCCACTGGCCGAAGAGGAGCACTAGTTACCTTGCTTGCAAGAAACATGCGACATAAGGCCTTGTGGAATCCCCATCGCAAAGACTGGAGAGGCAAAGGTGTTGTTTGCAGAGCGCTCCTATTTCTGCATTTTAGAGATCTTGTAGCTTTATTTCTTGTGCCATGGCAAATTTTGAGAGCCTTTTCCCAGAAAATGGCAGTGAATCAATTATCTTTGGTGGTAGATGCATCTTGACTTGGGTTTAGGGATTAAGGTGGTCCCAGCTGCCTAACCCAACAACAATGTGCCTCCCATCACATCATTGAAATAATGGCTGAAGCTGCATACGGTACCTTCCTACCGTGGATATTAGCCTTTAATGATTCATTGTGAAGGTCTACTTAGGCTGACTTGCAAAGGCAACGTTATCATTTCATATGGGTTGTAGTACATTGTTCCCGCCTCCCTGACTCTCTTCGCGCAGTTAGGAACCACTTTCTCGCTCTTGACCCCACCGACCTCATTTTCGACCTGCTCGAGAAGCACCTCCTTGCAGCTGAGACTAGCGTAGTTGCTGTAGGTGTTGCTCGTGGTACTCCTCGCACACCCTTCTTTGAGGGGTGTTCCCCCTCCCCCCTTGCCCCCTCCTACGCTTCCGCTGCTGCTGTTGACATCGTTGGTGCTGAAGATGTTGGGACTGCTTCTGCTCTTAGTGGGAAGCGCCGTAGCAGCAAGGGCAAGGGTGGCAAGAGTGGTGGCGGTGGCAGCGGGGGTGGTGGTGGTGGTATAGGCGGTGGAGGTGGCGGAGGTGGTGGCAGCAGTGGGAGTGGTGGCGGGACTGGGGGCTTCGGTGGCGGCGGTGGTGGCAGCGGTGGGGGTGGGGGTGGCGGTGGTGACTGCAGTGGGAGTGGTGGCGGCGGCAGTGGTGGCGGTCGGGGTGGAGCTGTTCAGAGGGGAGGTTCTGGCGGTGGCCATAGGCAGCAGCAACGGGGTCGGAGCGAGACCCCTACGCCTCAGCAGCTTCGTAAGTGGTTTGCTCAGCGTGGGGCGTCTGGGGGTAGTGTTCGCTGCCCGTATGTCATTCGCACAGGTGACCATGCTGGTCAGACATGCGGGAAGCTTCACACTCAGCACCGCTGCTTCTCCGCCTTGACGACGCTTGGCGCGCTGAGTTTGGCGACTAGGCTGAACGCCCCCGCTGGGCAGAGCTGCTTAGGTCTGGAGTTGATATCTTTGCTCTTGACTATGATGCTATCCTTGTTGCCATGTATGCCTTGTCTGTCAGTGCTGAGGGTGACTGTTACATGTGTGTGCCGCCCGACCCAGGTATAGAGGCTGCTGCTCTAGGTGCTAGTGAGTCTGCTCTCCCTGGTACTGCGCTTGCTGAGGCCTTGCACACCTTTACGCTTGACTCAGGTGCTTCCCGCTGTTTTTTTCGCGACAGTACCTCACTCTCTCCACTCCCTGCACCTGTTCCGGTCAGACTGGCTGACCCCTCAGGGGGGGCAGTTCTTGCCCGTTCTTCCACTGTTCTCCCGTGTCCGGCAGATCCGTCCGGCTCACTCTCAGGTCTTCACCTCCCCTCATTCTCTACAAACTTGGTCAGTACCGCGGCCCTCCCAGATGCGATGGTCATTACCACCACTCCTGGGGTTCAGCGTGTGTCAATTTGCACGTGTACATGGACGGGCTGCCACCTAGCCACGTTCACCCGTCGGCCTGGGTCGAGTCTGTACACACTCACTTCTGAGCCTCCTCAAGTAGCTGCGTCTTCGCAGGTGTCCGCGTCAGGTCCGGTAGCAGCCCCCTGCTCGTGTCGCCTCCTGTCACACCAGACTCTCATGTGGCACTGCCGCCTTGGTCACCCCTCCCTACCACGCCTTCGTGGCATGCACTCCCGCCTCCTTGTTTCTGGTCTTCCCAGGTCTCTGCCTCCCCTACCGCCCTCGCTTGCCCCACCCTGCCTTCCTTGCGTCGAGGGGCGGCAGCGCGCCGCTCCTCACTCCTCCTCGTTTCCCTCGACGATTGCTCCCCTGCAGACTCTACACATGGACGTGTGGGGCCCAACCCGCGTCAGTGGACAGGGCCGCGAGCGTTACTTCCTGCTGGTTGTTGACGACTACACGCGTTACACCACGGTCTTCCCCTTGCGCAGCAAGGGTGAGGTCCCTGATGTCTCGATCCCTCGGATCCGCGCAGTCCGTCTCCAGCTCCGCGAGAGGTCCGTGAGGACCTTCCAGTCCTTCGTCTGCACTCTGACAGAGGTGGTGAGTTCTCCGCCGAACTCTTGCGGGACTTTTGTCGTGGGGAGGGCATTCTCCAGTCGTTCACGCTTCCAACGGCCCTGCAGCAAATTGGGATTGCTGAGCGCCGCATTGACTTAGTCATGTAGGTCGCTCGTACCTCCATGATCCATGCGGCTGCTCCCCATTTTCTGTGGTCGTTTGCGGTCCGGTACACTGTGCATCAGCTCAACCTGTGGCCCCGTGTTTCCTTGCCGGAGACCTAGCCTACACTGCGTTGGACGGGGAAGGTTGGCGATGCGTCAGTGTTCCGGGTATGGGGCTCTCGTGCCTTTGTTCGCGATACTTCCGCGGACAAGCTCTCCTACCGCGCTATTCCCTGTGTCTTCCTTGGCTTTCCACCTGACGCGCCTGGCTGGCAGTTTTACCACCCCACCTCGCGCCGTGTCCTCCCCTCTCAGGACGTCACGTTTGACGAGTCGGTTCCCTTTTACCGTCTCTTCCCCTACCGCACTGCCCCTCTCCCCCGTCCGCCGCTCTTCCTTGCTCCAGGTCCCCCTCCGGTAGACCCCCTCCCCCCTCAGGGTCCTGCTCCTTCAGGTGTGTCTCAGGTAAACCCACTCCCCGAGACTGTGCCTGTCGAGGTCGCTGTAGACTCATGTGCTGTTAGAGGTGCTGCGTCTGGCGGTGCTACGTCTGGGGGTGCTGAGCCTGCGCGTGCGAAGCCTGGGGTTGCTGAGAATGCGGGTGCGGAGCCTGGGGGCGCTGGGTCTGAGGGTGTGGATTCTGGGGGTGCTGAGCCTGGGGGTGCAGAGCCTGGGGGTACTGAGCCTGAGGGTGCGGAGCCTGGGGGTGCTGGGTCTGAGGGTGCGAAGTCTGGAGGTGCTGAGTCGCGGGGTACTGCGTCTGCTGGAGATCCTGTGGGTGCCTCGCCACGATTGTCTTCCCGGCGAGAGCCTCTCTCACCGCAGCAGCTGTGCGAGTGGTTTGCTCAGCGCACACGCCTTCGGAGTGGCATTGAAGGAGCTGGAGGCTCTGCTGCTGGAGGCACTGGAGCTGGAGTTTCTGGAGCTACTCGTCTTGGAGGTGCTGGAGTTACTGCTGGAGCTGGAGGTACCGGAGGTGATGGAGCTGCTGGTCCTGAAGGTGCTCGTACTAGAGGTATTGGAGCTGCCGGAGCTGGTAGTGTTGGAGGCGCTGGAGCTTGAGACCCTGGAGCTAGAGACCTTGGAGATGGAGGCAATGGCGCTGGAGGTGCTGGAGCTGGAGGCACTGGAGCTGGAGACTCTAGAGCTGGAGGCACTAGCGCTGGAGGCGTTTGAGCTGGAGGAGCTGGAGTTGGAGACCCTGGCATTGGAGGCTCTGGAGCTGGATGCACAGGAGCTGGAGACCATGGAGCTGGAGGTGCTGGCGCTGGGGGTGCTGGAGCTAGCGGTCCTGGTGCTGGAGGCATAGTGCAGCGGCGACCGTTTTTCGTTACGCCGCCGCCGTCGTCTCTGCCACCACCTGACTCGGTTCTGCTGCACGTCGCCGCTCAGCATGACTACGAGCTGCACTCTCTTGACTTCAGAACAGCTTTCTTACAGGGTAGCCTGCACGAGGAGATCTGGTTGCGCCACCCACCTGGCTTCACTGAGTCGTTTCCTGCAGGTACCCAGTGGAGCCTCCGGCGGCCAGTCTACGGTCTTTGCCAGGCGTCTCACGAGTGGCATGACACACTGAGGACGACGCTTGCGGCTCTTGGGTTTGCTCCTTCGACTGCTGACCCGTCGCTGTTTCTACGCACCGACACTTCGCTGCCGCCGTTATACGTCCTCGTGTACGTCGACGACTTGGTCTTTCCCACTGCTAACACTGAGGCACTGGCCCTTGTGAAGTTAGTGTTGCAGAAGAGACACACCTGCACTGACCTGGGTGAGCTGCGCAGCTATCTTGACTTGCATATCACCCGGGACAGAGCACGGCACATCATCACCCTGACTCAATCACACATGGTGCACCATGTCCTTCATCGCTTCGGCTTCCAATTTTCCTCGCCACAGCCCACTCCTCTGTCTACCAGCCACTCGCTCTCAGCTCCACCTTTGGACGAGTCCGTAGAGCCGAGTGGTCCGTACCCAGAGCTTGTGGGTTGCCTCATGTACCTGATGACGTGCACAGGACCTGACCCCGCGTACCCTCTCAGTCTTCTGGCTCGCTACGTGGCTCCCGGTAGGCACCGAAAGGTGCACTGGGATGCTGCGAAGAGGGTACTGCGTTACTTGTGCAGTACGTCGAGCATGGGGCTCGTGCTTGGAGGACGGGGTCCAGTTGTCCTCACTGGTCATGCAGACGCTTTTTGGGTTGACGACTCAGCTACGCAGCGGTCGTCACAGAATTACACCTTCAGCATTGGTTCCGGCTCTGTTTCCTGGCGGTCTACCCGCTCGTCTTCGGTTCTCAGCTCCAGTTGTGAGGCTGAGATCTACTCCGGGGCCATGGCTGCACAGGAGCTACGCTGGCTCACCTACCTGTTGACTGACTTGGGAGAGCAGCCTCCTTCGCCTCCAGTTCTGTACGTAGACAACAAGGCCATGATTGCCTTGTGTCAGGAGCAGAGACTGGAGCACAGAACGAAGCACATCGCTCTGCGATACTTCCTTGCTCGAGAGTTGCAGTAGCGTGGCCTGCTTCGTCTTGCTTACGTGGCCACT